TGTGGAAAAAAATGTCACAATTACTGTAATATGGTGAAGTTTTCTTAAAGCGGTCCAGACAACAAGACGTAGTTATTTTCAACGAGAACGACCGCATATTTTCCCGTTAAATAGTTGTTAACGTCTACAATTGGTAAACGAGGCTAGCTATACGTTGCCTTCGACTTCTTTATACGGTGTGTTATACACATCACTTTCTACTCCAAGGCTATACCGGGACCTGTTTTAAGCTGCATCAGAATGCTATCGTCACCTGTGCGGAGATTAAACCTAATATGAATAAAATTATGAAAAATTTGAGGTATTTTCAAGTATGAATGTATTTCTAAATGGACAATAACCGGTTATGAGCCATTCTTGACATTTGGACTACTCGAGGTGCTTTTTAGGCACTGACCTATGATGCAAGATCAGGTTTTTTCAGCTGCATTTTTTCGCACAGTTGGCAATAAAAAAATAAATTGCTTCATAAACGGTGAGAATTTTTAAATAATGAAATATAATTAGTTTACTTGCACTCTTCTTTAGGTTAATTGTTATGAAATAAAAATTCAAGAGAAGTGCAAACAATGGAATTTACACTAATGATAGAAAACAAATATTTCGCTCTATTTCACATCCACTCGATTTTACAAACGACGAACTAACTTCAAATTATCGATTGAAGGAAATTTGCAAATAATTTCTTGCATCACTGATTGTTTGACGTGTATGTAGCACATGTATAAGTTCGACGCAACTAATGAGGGCACTAAGGAAAAAATAAGTAGTTCTGCAGAAAACACGCTTTTTGTGACAAGTTTCCCTAGTGATAATCCAGTCAAAAACGGATCAGTGTTGATAATTTTGACAAAAATCGTCTTCAATGCGACGTGTCATGCACGATTTCAACTTTCGCTCCAGACACCTCAAATTAATTGTAGCTTCAGGTATTTAGCTTATGGGTGTAAAGACAATGGGGATTGTGTCAGAAGAGACTTGTTGAGTTAAAGCTTAATGTTCTATCGCAACAATAATTTTAAAGCCTTTCTGGTTGCTCCCGTGTCGTAAATCACATTGACATTCATTTTACTATGGATGTAGGATTGTTGCAAGACGAGATTTTCTTATAATCGTATCTGGACGACATTAATTATAATTTACGCGTTGCAGCAGTAATTAAATCAAATTTAAAAATACACAGACACGAAACGTTTGAGAAAATAAGTCGATTTTTCTCACATTCGCAAAAATTCACACAACAAACAATGGAACAAAAATAAAAGTAAAATTTCTAGTTTAACTAATATTCATCAAGTTTAGACGAACAATTGTTCCATACAAGCAGTGAAAGTTGATTTATTTACTTTGCTAGTATTTTTTATTTTAAAAGCACGTACTTAACGAGCAAGAGAACAATAATTCAATTGTTATGCCATCGTTTGATAATAACGCGTCGAAAAAAAAAAGAGTCGTGAAGACGTGTAAGGATATCAATAATTACAGTTAACGTAATGGAGTTAGGGTGTTGTTGTCTATTAATGTTGTTTTTTACTCACGGACTCGAAGCTTTTACATAAAAGATGTAATAATTTATTGATGGCATAATACGATTATAATTACTTCTTCATGATTGAGTTTTGTTAAATTATTAATAAATCACCGATTTGCTTATCGTGACATAAATCTAAATTACGTGTCTATAATGACATTACTGTTCAAATTGTTGTTATTTTTCTTTTTGTAATTTAACTATAACATTTTATTATCGCCACGGCAACGATTGATTTTTGTTCGTTATATTGGCTGCACTGCAAGATTTGTGTAACCTTGGACACTATAAGGGTCAAACCACAATCAACCCTCATGCCTGTTAAAAAGCGTACACAAATTAATAATCTCAATGAACGTTCTCCACCACAATCAAAACCACGTAATTCCGACCTTGTCAATAATATTACACCATTAAAAGCAATTTAAGTTCGTTAACTCGTTTTTTTCACACTTTACTCATTTATCTGTTTTATATTGAAATGTGACATTGGAAAATATGCGAAAAAATTTATTCTGAGGTTGAGTGAAAGTATCTAGCAAATTATTTCAGTGTAACATTATGGATATTTCCAACCGTTTTTCCTTTTTCTTGTTTTAAATTCTTTAGCGGAGTGAAAATCGTTCGAGCGCTTTTTTCGCGTCTCCGTGAAATTCCAACCATTGCCATATATTTAAGAGAAATCTAGACGACTTCATATCGTCACAGTAGAATGGTCATGAAGAGATCATCAATTTTTTCGTTATTGCTAGGTACAAATACAAAGGTGCATTGTTATTTAATTAGGTCGCGATGAATTTTAGATATGATTTCCGTTGTTCGAAAAGCAGATTGCCACATTTCCAAAAACGGGGAGTTTATAATTAAATTTTTATCTTGCTTGGTTTGTTGCTGTTGACATAGTTGTCCTCTGCAAACATTTAACCTTACTAAATCTACGCAACAATTTGTCCATGGCTAGATCTGTTATCCTGATATTCACAATCGGGTATCACTGGCAGACTTCTCTAAATTCACACTGTAGAACAAACTGCATCACGGATAACAATCCTAACGAGTTTTTTGTCACAAATTCAAGCGATTTGTGCCAAATTTCTTACTATTACGTTGACGTAATTATTCACCAATCAATAAAAGTAAGGTTATTACAAATGCTAAACCTTTTTTATTGCAATAAAATTATGTTTTATTCTGAAATACTTTAACGTAGTTCGGTGAAGTAAAAAATCGAATTAAAAACCACCAGCGCATAAACTTACTTAAGCTAGTTTCTTCTCCATATATAGAGAGTATACATAAAAATGGAACAAACCCGATAAAACTTTGCATAACGTTTGAGAAACACCTGGAAAATTTTGGTTTACTTTTGATTACTAGAACTAACTTTTACTTGATCTTCACCTTAAGGTGCAAATTTATGTTCAGAGTGCAAATTTAATCGATTAGTTCCTTTGTCTGAGGTTTAGGAGTAATTGGGTTGGTAGGACTGTGTATATATCAGGATAAGATTCCACACCAACAATAACTCTAATCTCATACGAAAACTAATTTTAAATTAGATTATGCTTTCGTTTATAGAGATGTTTTCAAATCCGAGACGATTAATTCCCGTTTGAGTATGTCCGGAAGATCCTAAATGTCCATTTCTCTCGGATACAAGCTTGATTTCCAAAATTTTGACTACGTGGTTGATGTCTAGTTCCAATTTAACCATTTTCTGTGTATGGGGTATCTAAAACAAATAAATCTAGAACTTTTTGAAATTCTGACCAAGCTACAACATTTATAAATCTGAGACAATTTAAACATACCTGACGATGTCTAATTGCCCAAAACTCGTTGCATAGGTTAACTTCAAAAATTTGTCGAAGGTGACAGGCTTCTTTCTACCTTGAATTCAACCTGAAAGTTTAGAAATCGTGTAGAAACATATTGACATCAACGATTTTGTACTTGTGAAAACACAAAAATTGAAAATTTTTGAAATCTGAGACCTGAATTTGTGATAGATACATGAAATAAAAAGTTACAACAAGTGCTTAGAAAACGTTACTAGTAGAAATCGGCAAGATTACACCTTTCACAGCCTCGGTGCTTATTTTTAAACACTACCAAGATGACTTCTATGGAAATTTTTGTTTATTATCGGGTAATTATTAAAGTTTGCACATTGATAGGTTCAGTTACGTTTTGGTGAAAAATATGAACGACGCCATAAAATTTCAAATAGGTTTCAATATCCAGCGATTGTTCGAACGTTTTTATCGTGTTGGAAAATTTTCGAATTTGTTCCATTTTCTAACGTACTAAATCGCATTGTTATTAAATTTATCATTCACTCTTGAACTTGTGTGTCTAAATATAAAGATGTTTGCCTTTTCAATATGTGAAAGGCTAAAAGCAATTAACACAATATGACATTGTAATTCTTTTAAGAGGTAGTATGTTGTAAAATTGTGTTTGTATAGATATCCCGTTCTTTGTATCGTTTAACTGGAGGACGTACTTTTCTTCGTTTTTGTTTAGTGATATTTTACGCTTCTGTCAGTCGTGCCACCTCTGCACATTATGTTTTCCTTAGTCGTACACCAGATATGAAATTGTAGACATTTCTGTTATATATTTTTCTTATTGTTTGTAAATTGATATCTGCAACAATTTGTACCTTTGTTGCCGATTCTCACGCAAATGAATTACCCGGAAAGATATCGCAAATCTGACGTAACAAAAAATATAGGAAGTTAAAATGACGTAATGTCACCTTATCTCAAAAATGAAAGTATTTGGTTTATTTTGTAACTAGTTTTTCATCATCGACTACAAAAAAAATGGCGTCATGTGTTAAGTCCGTTAGTCGTGTCAGATAAAATAAAAATTTACCAAGTCCACTAACGAAGTAAAAAATATGTATAAAACCACGCGATAAACCTTATTTACGTCGCGTATGCAAAGATATCCACACTAAAAAGGCAAAAACATACTGTAGGTAGTTATGAATTAACATTAACATGTAGGTTATCCACTTTGCGTTGTTAACCTGAATACTATCGAACAATTAAAATGAATAACTACGCAATAAACAGTGTTTGTATAAATTTTAAAACTGAGAATTTCTCATTGAAGAAGGTATGCCTCGAGCAGAGAAATTATAAGTAAACACGTAAAAGCTTATGAAACGTTCAAATAATAAATAAATTAAGCAGGATAGAAAGTGTAAATCATAATAATTAATCAAATTTTGTTAATTCCCCCAAAACTAGCTATCGATAAAATTCTTCTGGTCTTATGTAACTCCGATATCAAAGTTACGTAAAAATTGATAGTTTCACATTTCCATATAATTATCGCTGGGAACAATGTTGATGTAAATAGGCGTGTGCTCATTTCACTGACCATAATAGGTCTGAGCGCGGCTTTCGGGGTCAGGTTCATGTTCCTACAATCTTAACACTCTATATCTTCATTGTAGAATATGTCGGCATTAGGAACGTGGAATTATGGGAAATATCGGTAGCCAAACTGGCCAAATCACCCCGCGTCCACCCGAAGAGCAATGGGCACACTCTTTCCCCAGAACGCAACCTAGGCTGCACCAACCGCCCAAGGTTCTTCCAGAACGGGATGCAAGGCAAAAGCTGCGACATACCAACAACGGAGACATACTTCAATCCGGAGGTACCCTCAGTGGAAGACATCAACAAAACCGACTTTCGTTGCGAGAAGTAAAATTGATAACCTAAAAAACCCAGGTACTGATTTTCATTTTCAGGATGAGAGTCCCGAGGAGTTCATCCCTTACGAAAAACCCCCACGGACATATCTCTCTAATCAGAGAGACCCTTTGCACAAATCTGGCAACAGATATACTCAAGCCATGGACTACAACAAACAGTATCAAAATGGCTTCAACCACAACGCGTACAAAGAAAGCGTACGTTTTTATCACTACATTAGGGTTAGGTGTTTATTTGTCCAATTGTAGATGAAGAAGTTTGGTTCGGAGCCGGATTTGCGACAACCCAAGGGGATGGAAACCCAAGATCGAGCACGAGGGAAGAAGAAATACAAAGCCCCGCCTCCTCCAAATTTAGAAATGGTGGAGAGGTCACACCTAGAATGGGACGAAAACTCCAGTGGTGACAACGGCCCCAATCGTAGAGCTCGCCTCTTCAAAACGCGAGCCGAAACAAAGAAAATATACTCTAGTCCTGTACATAAACATAAATCTTTAGAAAAACACGAAGAAATAGTTCAAATTAGAGATCGCGAAAGAAACCCGGATTTACGTTCCAATCGATTGTCGCTTCCTGAAATGATCACACCGAACTTCCACCAGGAACTGAAGGAAGTTACTAAACGCTTAAGACACACCCGTGCCTCCACTGATAACACGATCGCAGAAATCAATAACCGGAATAAAGAAAAGTTGAAGACCCTTGACCACAATATACACAAGAAGGACAATATTAGACAAAGACTGAAGCAGATGGAAACCGTGGAAGAAAAGAAGGCGGAAGTGCGAGGCGACGGTTCGGGGAAGGAGTCGTCGTCGCCGGAACAGGCGTCTCCTAGGGTCATCCGAAAAGACCAACCGAAGACTTTCTATTTCGGAATGGACGAACCGATGCAGAATGATGACTACAATAACGATATTGTTGATCATTTTGCGTCGAATCTTCATTCAATGACACACATTCAAAAAGTCGCTAACTCATCCGAGTCGGATATTTCAAGTGAAATCGAAGTCGATGAAAATCATGGCGTTAGGAATGGTATTGATTTGCAATTACGTCCAATTTTACCGAAGAAGCAGTTGGAAATACCGAGGTTTTCGCCTGCAGCTGCCTGGCGACTGTTATCAGCGGTTGATACTAACCCGGTCGCTAGCACTATAGCTAGTGACGACGTGCCCGTGTTCATTGAAGACAGGATAGAGAAGTATTCGAGACCGCCGCCTCCGACTATGCAAGGCGGGCAAAGATCCAGCAACGATAAATCCGGCGATTCGGGAATTTCGGGAGACGCGGGTCCCACCGGCTACGATGATAGTCCAGAAGGAATAATGAATTCCCGCAACAGTCTTCTGGTAACGTAATCACTTTAGTGTTCAATCAGGGACTGTAGGTTTATTTTAGATGCCGCCGTCACGAAGTCAAGGGATTTCGTGGACGCCTCAGCAAGACCTCGGCGACGATTCCAGCATGGAGGAAGGTTTGAACAACGACAACTCGTACAAATCGCGCCAAACGAAATACTCCAACAAACCCCACGTCTTCAGTTTATCGTTACCACGTGACAATCACCTATCTGCTTACATGTCCGATAAAAGTTCGTACTCAGGTCTGCAGAAGCTCAAACGATCAGTGTCTGGTGTTCTAGGCAACTTAAGCAACAAGAAGGATCTAATGCAAGCAAATGTATGCCAAGACCAGAGTGACAATTGGTTTCTCAGCAAATCCGCCCCCAACTCTCTCAACAACGGCTTCAACTCCCTTGAACTAAAAAATTCGAGCAAATCTGAAGAAAAGGACCAACTTTTAGTGCCAAATTCCAAAAGCGCAGGTCGTTTGATGTACTTGCCAGAGTTTGATAATACCCAGGATCACCGACATGCTAGATCAAAAACCAAGGACGAAATCCGCGAACGGTCGAAAAGCGCGGACCGATCTAGAAGCAACCACAAACTGAGCGCATTTTCGAAATCGTGCGAAAACATCAACGGGGAAATTAAATCGTCGTCGGAACCAGAACCCGAAGATCTGCAAGATCCTCCTCGAGCGTTTGACGATTCGAAGAACTGGCACCGGAAACCTAAACGGTTCACCTTTCAAAGTACGGTAAGACAAATCGAAAGGCGACGACTCGCCGAAAAGCTATCCCGAGAGGCAGAGAAGAAAGAAAAGCAGCGACTGCGAGAGTTGGAAGCGATGCAGAAAGTGGAAGAAGAGTTCCAGAAGAAGAGAGCGAGAGAAAAAGCGAGCATCCGTCAGCAGTTGCGTTTGTTTTCTATGGACGACGTGGCGTGGACTAGTCTACCTCCAAATTTGGAACCGAAAGATGAGGTGAGTACTGTAACACCAATACTAGAGTACAAGTTTGTTGGTTAGGTGCGCCAGGAACCCGATGGTGCTGTATCTTCTTCAACTGCGTCATCACCGTCGTTACACAAATCCGACCAAACGAAGAAAGTTTATCAAAAGAATAAAAAAACCACCGGGAACAACGGGAATCACAATAAACATAGACCTAGTTCTGAGAGTAGTGAAGACGCGAGAACTAAAGCTCAAGTGACGCAAGTTTTATCAGAATATAGACACCCACAAAGGGAGTATAAAGAGTATACAGGGAGTACGCGTTACTTAAGTGACCTGAATGAAGTAAATCATACCAAAACGACAGTTCATCCGCAAGTCACGTGTAATATGCCAAAAGCAAAGCAAGGTTGGTTGATCTAGGTAGATTCAATTTTGATATACGAAAATTTGTTACAGGTTCAAATAAAACTAGTGGTACGAATTATAGGAAGGATTTTGCTCATGGAGTTAAGAGTACAAGGTCTGGGGGAAGCAGTTATTCCGAGGATTCTCAATCTAGGAATAATTCACCTAGAATGTATCATAATAAGTATGCTCCAATCACAAGGTCTGTTGGTAATGCATTGATTAAAACTGAAATTGACTGATTCATTTTTCAGGTTTTAATGTGTTATTATAAAGTCAGTTAACCCACTGTACCTATGTATTTTAACAATTTATTCATTTTATTATAAAGTGTATATACTACAATGAAAAATAAATTTTATAATGACTTCTGTAGTGATTTAGACTTGTGTAATCGGACACTAAAGGTGAGAGCGCCATCTGTTGTGTGAAAAACCAAAGCATAGGAAAATTCAGGCAGGAATCACGAAACGGTTGTCAAAATCGGTGTAAAAGCAACAAGATGGAGCTTTTATTTACACAGATACTTTACAGAGAGAAAACGAACTACTTTGAAAGTTTAATTTAAAGCAGATTTTACTTATTTTATGTTTTATATAACGAAAATAATTCGTTCAGTTTCGAAATTTGTTTCTTAGTTAGTCGGTTACGCGCATAGCCACATTGACTATAAATGATCATATTTTAACACTCAACTAAACGGGATTTAAATTTTTAACTCTGTGAGAGACCATTTTACGAAGCAGGATACGATAGGAAAAAATCGACAGGTGTTTTAATTGCATATAGTGTACTTTATAACAAAAAAAATAGTTTTACCGTTCAAATAGTGGCGGGAAAAGTGTATAGTATGCAACCAGTAACACACATGCAAGGATTTGGTTGCCTACGTATAAAATTAAGTACGCTAGCCTTATTGACCGTTTTTACTGTAGACTACGATATAGTAACCTGATTTACACAAAAACGTCCTTAAGCCCAACTTTTCTTCCCATTGTGTTTATCTTGATGTTCACCTAGTCACACAGTTTTCACGATCGTTTTTGACTAATAAAGAGTTTCTTGATCCTTGTAAAACTATGTCATGTATATCACACTAAATGCATATTATACAGACATCTCGTTTATTTTCATAGATTGCTTGCTTCAGACTTCAGAGCTTGATAATAATTAATTGTGTACTGACTCTATAATTCTGGTTAATTAAAATCTCCAGCATCCTTTGTCAAGGTATAATATTAGTTCTCATAGAAATTCAATAACGCTTTTGTACCAGAAATGACAAACGTCAACTTCAGGGTAAATCACTTCGATCAAATTTTCTAATAAAATAACAAAAGTGTAGCTCAATTAGAAAACAATTCACTAACAACCTATTCAGTGGATACAATGACGTTTGAAGGCGGTGCTTAAATCACCCAATCAAAGCTTACGTAAAAGACCGAATTACACGTGTACTTACCTCGTTTTTCAATCCAATAAATTGGTGGTGTTATTTTTCAAGTTAGATGCTTCATTTGCTCATAAAGATCGTGAAAAATAACCTAAAGCTTGTTAAGTTGTGAGAAATCACCGCTGCCCTAAGTCAAGTAAAAATAATAAAATTTTATTGTATAACTCGTGAAGATCGGACCTTTTTAAATAACCTTCATATTTCACTTCGACGAACCTTTTCAACAAGAGAAACTCTCGGTTGGGTTGGTCATTCATTTTCCTCGAATGTCCGCCAATAATTATGATTGCGAAAACTATTTCCATTTTGTTTTCGTTCTCCGACTTTATATATTTTTTTTTCATTTTAATTAACAAAGAGTGTTTCTGTTAGTCGTTGACTGTCTTTGTGATTCTAACTCAAAACCCGCTATGGATTAGTTTCATCACGAGGTAATATATTCAAGCGAAATTTTAAAATTAGACCGTAGATTGAATTAAAATCGAGTAGATATCGCTACGCTATTCACGGAAAAACATTATAATGACTCAATTTTTCTTCATCATCTGTTATCACGCGTCAAAATTCACTAAGAGATACAATATCTTCCATCAAATCGCGGGTTGCATTAAGTATCCAATTTTTCCGTACCACCAAGTGATCTGTCATTTTCGCAGCATTGTTTTAATTAAAATTATGTGATAAGTATAAAATTGCGTTGCAGCGAAGGATAGAATTACATAAGCAAATATTTCTGCAAAATTATGTTGATTAATACATAACTTTCAATGGCGTCTCGTGGTCTTTGGTCAAATATATATAAATTGGATTTAAAACTTTTTCCATAGTGTACATTATGCAATTTAATCGATTAGTTCAATAGACAAGTTCAATAATAACACAATAATTACTATTATTATTTTTCATTTATTTTTATTTCTCGTTGAAAATTGATTGTGTTAAACTATACATTATTATTATTAGTACTAAAATGTAAACATCTTGACGATATAACATTGAATAGGCAAATATATCTTTATAACAATTAACAAAGGAAATTACATCATAATAAATAATGCATTTTATGACAATATATAAAATATATGGAACATTTTAATGTTGTTTATAATTTGTCACTACTATGTGTGTACTTTTAAGCTTCAATTACATTAGTGATAAGAAATCTCAAAGTAAATCAAAAGATACCTAAAAAATTAAACAATAATAGGCTTTAAATTAACCACAGACTTAAGAAAACATTTCGATTGTTTCTTGGAATTTGTTTGTTTTATTATTATAGTTATTGATAAATTATTAAAAAATAAGCTTGTAACGATATAATCTCCCGTTCAGTTTTTTCCGGTTAATAGTGCTACAATGCTGATTTGTTTGTGTCATTAACTGGCTAAGGACTGGATTCATCCCACAAATTCATTAATTACAGTGAGAAAAACATGGTGATAAATAATTCCCTTTGTGTAGTCTGAAGTCACCTGCATGTTGTCTAAATTTCAATATGTAATTATATTTCGTTTAAACTAATCAATAACTAATAACAGTTTGGAGTTTGAAGTTGGGCCTTTCATTATGGAACAGAACCCTAGACCGACCGGCGAATGGACGAAGAAAAACGATCGACGCCATGTTTAACGATTTTTAAATTTATTTTTAGGACAAATAACCAACGTTTAAGTGCAAAATATAATGAAACAAGTTGAATAAATTTGAAATTTAGTAGCCTGTTTCAGCTAACACAGATCAATATATGTTCCAAATCTAGATCTTGTATTTTATGGTCGAATAAATTTTAAATTAATTTATTAATTTGTTTGTTGTGGTGTAGTGGCGAGATTCGACGATAAAACCAATCTGTACGAGACAGCGAGCTTATTATTACTATTATTATTTTAATTTTTTGAGAAACTTTAGTTTTCCCAAAAATTTAGTTACAACATAACATTGTAATTCGAAAGTGAGTTTCCAGAAGAGACTTTGAAAGTTTTTTTTTAATTAGATAACATATATGGAATCAAAATTCCACTTAATACACAACTGAAATAAAACAATTTATACATCAAGGAACGGAAAAAAAATTAAAAGTGACTTTAAAATATGCATTTGAAATTACGTCATCAACTTCTTGGTAGCATTAAATACAGCTCACTGTGTTCGCCGTATTTCAGGCAAGCTAAGTGACCCGTTTCTTATATAATCAATAATATAAATTTATTCATATATGTTTTATTTCATATTGTACGGTTTTGTTTTATACGGAACTATGATAATGTGATTGTTATTGCAGCATCAAGACCTGTGTAATTTGTAAAAAGCATGCGAATGCATAATTCTGCTGAATATGTCTTATGTGTGTATAATCTCAAATTTTGTATTTTTTTTTTGGTTGATGTCTGTTTTCAGATGAAATAAAAGTTAAATTTCTCCTTTCCTTGGATGACTTTGAAGGTTTAGTTTGAAAAAATCAGCATAGCCTTATTTGCAGCACGTACTCTGCAAAAACTATGCCAGAGTTATATAAGAAGTGTATTGTACTTCGATTATGATTTACGATTAAGTTGAAGGCTTTGGAGAAGTACCTAGAATAGAAATAAAGACCGTGTCAAATGCATTTAAGTTCGATTTATTTATTTTACAGAACGATGAGTGAAAGTTGTTTATAGAATGAATTAAAAAAAATGAAAATCCAGGTCGTAAAATTTGTGTGTGCTTCTTCAAGGGTATTTTTGAGTAAATTTCATGTAATGAACTGATAAGGTTCAATATTTCATTGTCATGTAAATGCGGCGAAATATATGTGGAGCAATTTTCAGCATAAAATGAAATTCCATTTCATCAGATGGAAGCCCGAGTTTTAAAAAATAAAGCGAACCGAGTAACAATGCGACAATTCATGAAACCAAAACAAACTGTCAACATCAGTAATAGTAAAGTAAAAAATTGGTATGGCCCCTCTCTCTCGAGAGGCAATTCTATCGCTTATTCTTTATTGCAATCCCTTTCCTTTGTTGCTAATGCCGGCGTGTTGTGGCACGAAGAAATAATTTTCCGAAGAACAAACGTCAAAGAAAAATGCGCTTCGAGAGGATTTTTAATAATTCGAGAAACGCGAAATCAAAGTGATGCGGCCGTTTATGCCATATTTGCGAAGTACACTGTTATCAAAAAGACCGTCTTGCGTTTTATTGTTTAGAAGTAAAAATAAAAATGCGGCAGTATAAAAAATAAATAAAACTCGCAATAAACGCGAATCATAAAATCGACGCATTTCTTTAACAAATGGCGGCTTTTGTCATCTAAATTTGATGGAGTTGCGCACCGGCGTCGAAATTCGACGCTCTCCCTTAAATTATCAGTAGGTAGACCGCGCTAGTGTCGTTTAGGTGCTCGCAATGACTATTTTCTAAAATTCGGCTGTGGTCTTTGTAAGTAAATTTAAACAATAATAACACCTGAACGCTCTTAGGAAGACAAAATAGATTGAATGCATGCAATACGCACGAAAATTTATTTATCCGTAGAAATGTCAAATTTTGCAAACTTAACCCTATTTGTTTACTAACAGTTTTTTAATGTAAAATGTGTCGAGGCGCCGGAGGTCGGTAATGAGCGCTCGGGGGGTAATTCAGGGGTTGTTAATTGCGAAATTTCCGATTTCGATTGGTAGGTTAAAAATGGTTAATATTTGTTTAACTGGAGACCACTCCGAACGCTTGATTAAATAAAGTTGCTTATTTTGATGCTATTGCGCTTATTAGGAGCGTTATTAAATAGAGTGTAATTGGTAGTATCAATTCCGAATTCATCGAAAGTGTAATAATTGAGTTAATAATCAATAAGTGATGGTTTTATCGGGTGTTTGCTCTTAAAAAATGAAATGATCGCGTTAAATATGAAACTCGATCAATTTTTGTTGTTTTTGCATGTAGAAATCGAAAGTTCCACGCCATAATTATTTATGCATGAATTGATGCACGTGCTATCGGCCGTCTCAAGCGCCGGTGTCTCTTTTCCGCCGTTTTCGGTCGGATTTCGTGCAAAAAATGTCCTAGCGGTTATGTTTAAATGTAAACAGCCGAAGATGGCCGATTAGCATAATATTAAAAATCGACTCGTTCGCAGTAGGCCGTAATTGTCGCGAGAGTCTGTCGCGCCAAAATTTCTTTATTTTTCTAATTTCGTATAGTCGATGGGAAATTAGTAATTTTAAGGTATAGGCGTGTCACCTTATGTCTTGAAATGAAAGTTGCGCGACTGGCCGTTTTCTGACCAGTGGTCTTCGGCGTGGGAGGACTATTGATCCACTATACACACGCATCTAACGCACACATATACTCACCCTACAGTCTCATTTGCGCTGTCCGTTATGTTTCCATTCGTCATTATGTTTTCTGATAGCTGTGTTGCCTTTATCTGATGATCAATAATTCCCCCAGTTCTTGGAATCTACAATTTGTGTATATATATGTTGCGTTTTTATTTAAAATTTGTAGCATTTCTGTGCGTGTTTCAGTTTTCCCTTTCGTTTCTAATAGTAAATACAGGTGGTTTCGACCCACAACAGACCTTTTTTATCTATTTTATTAAATATCACTTGAAATAAAAATCAATATATCCGACGTACCTTGCTTTTAATTTCGATTATTATTATCTTATTTACCACAGTTTCTCTTCAATTTTATTTAAATATTAAATTATTCATGACTGATTAGAGATAAAATTAATAATAAATCAATAAAATCCGCTCCGATAAAAGATAAAGGCTTTATTTTTGTCATTTTAAAAGGCAACACAACGCTTATTAACACAATCATACAATCATAAAATTATCACCATGCAAAAAACTCTACCACGGCTTTTATTAAATTTTAATCTCCAATATATTAATTCGATAAAGGTCAAATACCCAAACTACTAATTAAAACCACCATTTTACAAAAATACACACGCGCGACAGTTTTATTTTATTTTAAATTCTCCCCCTTCATCCCGACTTGATACATATAAACCTTCGAAAGTCCGGATTTATTTATGATATACACTTTTTGTTCAATTCTCGATCCACCAAATAAATAATGGGTGTCTACAACGTCTATTATTACACTTAAACCAAAGAAATATTTACTACTAGATGGAACATTAACAAGGTTACGACGATATTTTCAGACACCAATTTGTTGTTGCAATTAGTTCATAAACAGAAACAGAAAATCAATTGTTTTTTCTCTGATTACGCACCGAAAACGAAAAACGATTCGACGTAATTGTGCCAACGTTTCCTTCGTAAACAACGCAGAAACAAATTAATTCTCCAACAGATGTTGTTAAAGTTAACATAAATAAAAAATTATAAAGGTTCATTTGAGTGTTTGCTACATCGACTTATTCGAATTTTTCCTAACAATTCAGTTTTTGTGATCGAGAAAAAATTAATACGATGTCGGCTTTTACACTTCATTGAAAATAGCAGTAACGAATGAGGTATTAAGAGTGCTTACAAAATGTTATTTATTTAGAATTTCTAGAGCTTGCAAAATCATCAAACTGAGTACACACGAATAACATTGTTTGAAGTTTTTCGAAAACATATTTTTTAATTTAATATCATTTTATTTCCTTCAAAATTGTTTGAAATATATTCAGCTCCAATCTATATCTGGGAGTGTTCAATCCAACAAAAAGATTACATAAATCTCTTGAACAATCCTCCTTGGGACAACTAATACTCCCATTTAAAATTAATTGCTGAACAGAGATTTTTCTTCGTATGATTTGCAGAGTTCAAATGTTAGTCCTACTAACAAAACTCTTGTTCAAAAATTGTTTGTTTGATTTTTTTTCTAAAATATTATTAGTGTTGTAGTCACGAAATTATTCCACAACTACTTACGTTTCGTTTTATGTAACTCTGACATAACTTGGGTTTCCCTAGAAATAAAAAAACAACGCTTTTTGTGCACTATAAAAATCGTATACACGTCAATTTAGTTCCGTTGATATTTTGAATTATTTATGATAAATTTATTGTCACTACTTTATAGAAAAAAGTACATTAATGTATGTTATTGTAACCTTTAAACGCTAACATAATTATTTGAGATTTCAATGTATTGTCAAAGAGTAAAATCAAACTTTTGTCTACAAAATTATCACGTTTTTTAAGTCATTTAGAAAATATTTTATTATCTTCGACAATTTTGGGACAAACAGTTGTTTCAATCCAGCTTTTACTGCGTTTCGATTACGAGGATAAAAGAGATAAAAGATAAAAAAGTTCGTTTTTCATTTTAACCAGAGTATTTATTATTTAAGGTTGGTTAATTTTGTATAGGCATTCAGCATTCTCGTGCGCTAGATATACCAAAAATATTACACACTTCCTTTGTACTTTATTTTATGAAATTTTTTGTGTATTTGTAATTCTTCACTATATTTATCATTCCGGTGCTTTTTAAAAAGAAAAATTTTGTACTTTTACCATAAACACCATTAAATTTTGAAACTAAATAGTCGTAGTGTTTACAAACAATATTTGTCAAACACCCTTAAAAACAGTGAAAAGCGGAAAAACAGTTCGATAGGAACACATGAACGATTTCCACATTGTCTTCACCAGAATTTTATTGTTGGCCCGCAGATCAATAAATAATAAGAATTGACATTTTTTCCCATCAATAAATAAAACCTATTTGTTAAAAGTCGGTAAAAAAATTACACACACACGTAATTCGTGAAACTTCTTTCATTACCATTAAATTTTCAAAATCGCCTCATCAAAAAGTCCCCGTAACCGCGATTAGTCAAAATATAATTACCAAGAAACGTGGCTATCGTGGACTCCCTCATTTATAATTAACAAAAAAATCATCGATATAATTCGACGATTATCGTGATCCTTCGATAGTTCACTGTCCATTCCCATTCAAACAAATTCGGGAATTTTAGTAAATCGAACTGAATTAAAATAATTGACTTTAATAACATAACTTTCGTTTTTACATGCGAGCTTTTTCTATGAATTATTTTAAATATGAGTGGTGGTTGAAACGAAGGAGGGGGTGCATTTGGCGGTGGTGGGGGTTTCTGTCATACAGATACGAACCGTGTACTTCCCTTATGATACTATATTCTGTTTGTACTCAACTCCAGAGGGTTCACGTGCACATTAATTGACAGTTATGTGGTGTTTTTTGCTGTGTTGCGACCGAATTTTCGCCCTTATATGGTTGGTATTGCATGACGTATAGTAATTGTTTGGTTTTTTTCAACAGTAGTGCTAACTTTTTCGATGAAAAATTCACTGCTATCGACGTGCTGTGTAGCATATATTTATTTATCGTTACACACGATAGTATCTCTTTTAAACATAAAAATTACAACCTGTTTTGTGCCCAATAATGATATAATAAATTTAATCAATATTATTAATGTTACTACGTTGTGTAAACAATGACGGTAATAACGTTAGATAGATTAGTCGCGTACGAGCGCTATTTTTTAATAATTTTCATTTTATAACGTTGGTAGTTAATTAATCCCCACCCACCCACCCTCTTTAAAAAATACCACACAAAATGTCAATAGTCTAATGCATTTTCCGTGCACATTCATTTGTTTATGGTATAAAATAAAATCATGATTGATGTTTATGTGGATAAAGTAATGTCGAGAGTGTATAAAAATTTATATTTTCCATTTTCTTGTAATTTCCTTACTTTTATTCCGGCGCTTTAGGCGTCGTAAGTAAAATATTGAATTATACTCGAATTATACTTTAAAATCAGGAAGGGTTGCATGTCACAGAAAAGTTTAGTTTTTATTTTTTGCGCTTTTTCGAAAAAAATAATTGCTGATTTAAATTTGTAATCTTTGTATTCAAATATTAAGTGCTCTGACATGTTGAAAAGTGGTTTTCAACTTTCGTATATAGCGTGATCTATTTATAAAAGTGTTATCTGAAACGTATATTTCTGTCGTGTGATAATTCGGAAAATTAGGCGGACGAACATCCGAGTAGATGTTTTTTATTGATTGTAGAATACTTGAAACGATTTCTTTCCTCGGCACGTTTGTAAAACCTACTGAAATTATTTATTTATAGACACATCATCATTAAATAATTAAGCATCCTATTACAAATCGGTATTAAACGAATCCTACATGAAAAAAATATCTCCACATTCATTACGAGACTATAACGTTATACCAAGTATTATTTATTTATTTCATTTATTAAATTCTCCTTCCTGCGTAGGACGTAATATGGATTAACTTCAACTTAATTACAACTGAAGTTGTTTTCAAACAACTTCAGAACCAATAATACGCTTTAAATTTTTATGAAACGTCTTGCTTTTTATATTCTTTTGAACTTACTTTAATACTGACGTTATTTACACGGTTTTGAGCAAAGTTGTTTGTATCCACTTTTTGTTAAATTAAATTTTGACGTTACATCGCATTAAACGAAATTCAATGAACTGGAAAAATATAAAGTTTTTGCGATATTTGTTATTGAAAACGTCGAACCGACACAACTACGCAAATATAAGCTTTCTTTGAAATGTCAAGCTGCATTTTAAAACATACGGAATGACGAAAAATGGATTTTAATGTCGAAAAATAGCTCTCGACGGTGCTTTAGTATAATAATAACATCTATAAAAATACAATTCCAAGATTCTTAAACACGCCAAACAATAACAACTCTTGATCGAATTTGCATATTGATTTCGCGTTCCGATTTAAATATCAGCCATTCGAGGATTTAAAACGTTTTAATAACGGATTAACGTCGTTTTTACCACGTATTCAACTGTCGTGAAACAATACGTCGAATTTCCCATCGATTTTACACGTTCGGACCGTACGTATAATATACGTTATTGTAACTAGAGTGAACGTAATTCGATCATTTCTGTGCTGCTCGTAGAATTTGCGTATTGATTGTATACCTCCCGAATGAAATTTCGACCGGTTTCATTGTGATGTAAATGCTCACGTTCTAAGCGCAATAAAGTGTCTTCTAATTCTTACAATTATACATGCGGGTGTTAATAAAACTTCCAGTATCGCCACCCCACATCCAGCTCTTCGCTATTTTCTCTTGAAAACTGGCAAAACCTAGGGGAGAATCCGAAATGAGGGAAACAACATGAATCATACTTCCTTACGGACTTGACTCTAACCTAGCACTACGCGCAAATATTTAATGATGGGATCATTAGGAGGAATTCGGCAATGGTCACGGGGACAAGTACGCAGGGCCCCCGATGACGCGCCAGAATCAAAATTTATGATAATCAAATAAAGCGGACAGTTATTTTGACCCTCCAAGACGTGAGGTCAAATCGATAGGGACAGGCTCCGAAATGTTTAAGATTTCTCGTAAATAATGACCAGAGCTTTCCCTTTTTCTTTCCAACTCCATCAAGGGTCTATTACGGAGTTTAAGATTTCGCATTTTTACGGACCTACCATGAGTTAGAACCATATTTTTAGACATTTGATAAAAACGGGGTAACAAACAATACAAGAAAAAAATAACGGCAACTTTATTAAAAATTATTATTACTATTATTATTATAAATATATTTTTTTTGTATCAGCATCAAATAACAGTGATAACATCTGATTTTTAAAAATCTCTTGAATATTACAAAAAAATGAGAACAGAAGAGGTCCCATTGCTGACGCTTGCAGTACCAAAACCGTTAAATTTTGTCTACTGATTATATAACCAAATTTCTTGGTAGTATGGAAAATTAAAAAATATTCCGAAGTTATACATCGTCCAGTCATGCCAACGAAGACAAGGACGGCACGAAAGCGGTTACGCTTAATGCAAATTAAAGGCCTTTCAAAGGCCGAAGAAAATTATAAACAGCGTGAAATATTCGTTATCGGTTAGAGTATCGTGTAAACAATGACTAGTTTTAAACTTTACTGGAAAAGAAATATCGATAAAAAGTCACTAAATCCGTTTCGTAAGATTTCACCTTAAACTGTTGACAAAACCAAGCGAGAGGGCAAAAAATCCACAAAATTTATTCAGTGCGTGAAGTCCAGAAAGGTACACGTTTAAAAATCAAAAAAGTTGTACAATTGCAAAACACATAAAGAAAAAGTTCTTAAATTAATTAAAAATAAAAAACAAAGCAACCTTTTGTTTTAAAAGTTGTTACTATGCTACAGAGAATCTGGTAAAGTGATGACTCGCCATGACTGTGTAAAAAATTAATTTGCATTATTTCTTAATTGTGTCTAGCTATTAACAATTTTGAAAGAGGACACATTTTTTCACGAACTAGCTAATATTGTAATTTAATATTATACTTTTGACAAGTTCTAACATCATTATTGCGAAAATAAAGCTAGAGAAGCTCCTCCTTTTACAAGGTCATTAAACACATTTAACGAATAATGCAAAATAAAGCAGCAGTTAGTTTTTTGCAGCATCACTGCGGGCCATCATTTCACCATCGATTCTCATGGAGAACAGGCCGGAACTATTTCTCATCTATTTCAGCGTAGCGACAGCCTTAAAAGGAAGTGCAAGGTTCCAAGCAAATGCTAAAATACAGTTTAATAATATCACCAAGATAACAAAAGAATAGCAGTCATTAAATTTTGAACGACACAATAAAAATATATACCTACATTAACAATGACAAATTAAAATAAACGGTACAAAAAACTGTAAAATAGTAGTCAAAATACAGTAATTCACATTTATAAAACTGCATTGTTTTTTTTTTATGTCACTCGTCCTTGAATTAGTTGCCTAAAGGTTAATTAAACTTCTTTAAAACAATAATACAGGATTATATCCATTGTCAGATAACATTTTTTGCCACAAATGTCCCCTTTTTGGGAAGACTGAAAATTTTATGACTTTAATAATAATAGTAATAATAATATGATAAAAATAGTCGAAGTTTATTTCGACAAAACTGCTCCCTGGGGGCGCAAATTTCACGGGATTCTTCAAATTACACAAGCACGGACAATGTGACAACGGGAAAAAATTGTCCCTCAGCAATAATAACAACTTTAACTTCAAGTGTTTATTTATACTTCGGAAGAATGTCACGTGGAAGCTTGTTTAATTTAAAGAGAAATTTGGTATTGAACGTGCGATTGCCGATCCGCATGTTGACGTCTTAACCGCATGTAATATAATATAATGTAGGCTATATATGATAAGATATTAAATAAAGATTTGGGTAGTAATTTCGGAAATTTTCGGCAGGTTCACAAAAGATGGTTAATTTAGTCACGGACCAGCCGTAAGCTTATTTTGAATAACTATAAATGTAAGAATCGATTAAAATGATGAGTTTATGAGTAATAGAGTTTATTTTATGCGCAGGGACCTATAGAATCATTGCATGTCGCCTACACGACAATATGATGACATCCGTCACGTTACCCTCAACTTCTGGTCCCTTACACGGAGGATACTCCTCAGTAGCCGAGGAAACAACAAGCAGCGAGCCCGAGTTCGAAACACCTCGTCCAGTAAAACGTTGTCTAGTAACACCACTAACCGATTCATGCAAAAAGCGGAGAAAACAATCGACACCAGTCCGAATTTCAGCAGCCGAATCCGACGTTCATACCGAAGGTAAGCCAAGTTCGACCTCCCCCGAGCCAGAACTGCAGTGTCCCGTGTGCCAATTATATTTCAACACCTCTGAGCAACTACAAAACCACGTAATATCGGATCATTCCGCGGTCGAATGCAAGAAGGAACCGGAAGAGTTCGTGGTGAACCCGCAGGAGCGCGCCGAAACGCCCTTGGAACTGACGTCGAACAGAGCAGAGGTGCCATGGATGAACGAGCTGCAGGGCAAGGAATGGATAAACCCAAATTTGCACGGCTTGCCTTTCAACCCCACAAATCCGATGTTTATGACCTTACCTCAGTTTGCACAGCCCGATAATATGCCGAGGCAGCCGATCAGAATATTCAACCCGGACGCGTACTGCGACCTGTGCAACAAGGAATTTTGTAACAAATATTTTTTAAAGACTCACAAGGCCAACAAGCACGGCATCTATTCCGATCCTCCCTCGTCAGAGCCTTTAGTGAATAACGTAAACATTGCTTCTTATGCTGGAACGATTAAACTCCCAACTTCCGTGCCAAGTGTAGAAATATCAACCGTTAAAAATGAAAAATCCGCCAACATGATCAACCCCTTCAACAATTTGTTCCCAAATCCGTTCTCAAACAAATCCTTCCCGCAGAAAACAAACAAACCGAATCTCCCGAATTTATATGAAAGTGAATCGAATGAAAATGTTCCTAATTCAAATGGTTTCTCATCAAACAGTGAAAGTGATAAAGTTACTCCAGATGACCAACCAACTGAAGAATCATCTAGTCCTAGAAACGTACAAACCGAATCTACCTCATTTAAAAATGATTCTGAAGGGGGAATCTATTACATTCCCCAAAGCAAAATGTCTCCAGGTAACGATATAGAAATATCCAATCGCCTGAGAAGAATCGGCGTCATGAATCCTAAAGCATTTTGTGAGATATGTTGCAAAGAATATTGCAACAAATACTTTTTGCGGACCCATAAAATGAAACGTCACGGTATCTACATTCCCGATGACAAAGAAAAAGACAGCAAACCCGAAAGCGGCGGCAATTTTCCTTGGCAGAATAACATGCAAACTAGTCCTTTAAATTTAATAATGACAGAACAATCGAATACCGATCGCAAAACTACCTCACCATCGGACATCAGTTGCGACATATGCGGAATCAAATTCCAGAACGCCAGTCTATCTCAGCTACACAACGTGAGCGTCCATTCGAAAAACTATCCGAAAGAAGAAGACCAACAACACCAGGATCAGGCAGGCGAAGAATGCAAGAAAGAAAGTTCCTCGAACGAAAAATCGCTGAACGCCGAAGCGATCAGCGAAGATTTGCAAAAACTTCAAACGATGATTCTGCAACTGAACGAACTCGACGTGAGCAAAGTGTGTACGACTTGCAACGCGTGCAACAAAGAGTTCGAAAATCGTTATTTTTTACACGCCCATATGATGACAGAGCATGGAATCTTGCTCGACGATGTTGCAGACGGTGATAAACCTGTTGAATCCGAAAACAGTTCGAATAATAATACCATGTGCGATTTGTGCGGCAAAGACGTTCAAAATGTCGACGAAATGAAGAAGCACTTGTTAGAATCTCATCCCAATCATCAGGGAAATATCGACAATATCAAGGAGGAGTTTAACGGTTTCAGTACTCCGGAAAAGACCGTCAACAGGATACCGGTTTCGAACGCGGAACGTAGAATCAGCATGAACGTGACTCCGACGAGTAGCTATTGCGACATTTGCAATAAAGAATTGTGTAATAAGTATTTCATGAAGACGCATATGCAGAGAATGCACGGGATAGAGATCGAGAACGGTGCACAGATCGGCGGAGTGATTTGCGACATATGCAATAAAGAGTTGTGCAGTAAATATTTTTTAAGAGTTCACAAGCACAATACTCATGGTATAGTCGAGTACGGTACTAGTCTTTTGCAGCCGCGTAAGAACGAAGGTGAGACGACGACCGCGGCAACCGCGCCTCATCTGCCTGCCGAACCTGATCCGGCTTTGAAACCAGCGGATTTGGCCGACTTGAGTCATCGCTATTTCACCCATTTCACCGAGGTTTGCTCTATATGTAGTCGACGTTTCCGCAGCACGAAATGGCTGAAGGCACATCTGTTGAGCGACCACGGTCAAGTCGGAGCGGAAAAATGGGCTGAATTAGAGCAGCAGTTGCAACAGAGCATCGGCCAGCATTCAAAAGCCGGGATAAAGAGCGAACGCGGTAGTCCGACGCTGAAAATACCGAACGGCGGTCAAGAGAGAAAAGAAGTCGGTATACAAAACGTCCTCTCGAGTTTGTTTGGGGTTGACGAATCAAGTACAAAAAGTTATCCATGTTCCTATTGCCCTTTTACGACTCCTCTCCTTCCGTTACTGTTCGTACACGAAAGATCTCATACGATGTCGACGGACGGTGCACCGTTGAAGTGTCCAGTGTGCACCCAAAGCTTCCTGCAGCCAGAATTGTTGCAGCATCACATGTTTGCTCAACATCCATTTCTTCCCTTGCCGCCGTTTTTTAATGGGAACGAGAACCCTGGCGAGACGTCCAAGGAGCCGTCCGAGAACGCCGAAGACGACGATGGAGGAGGCAAGAACAAGAAGAAGGGGAAGGGGAAACGAGTCGAATTGTCGCCAGAAATCGGACAAAGTTTGAAAGACGTGGCGAAAAGGGCGCAAGTTCCTGCTGCATATGCGTTGCCTCAGGGGGGCGAGGATGCGGGGTACGTGATGCAGGCGTTTTTGGTCGAGGAGGCTGCAGCGGAAAAAAGAATCGTGCCGGCCGTTGTGTTCTTGCCGGTATTCCAAAAGCAGCCCGCACCTCTCACCGTTACATTCACTCTCACCCCGGCCTAAGCAGTTTCCTACACGTAGTTTGCATAGATGTGACATATTTTTTTAAGAAACTATCGATGGCGATTCGACGACACCTGTGATTTTTATTAATTTTATTTGATTATATTGTATAATCTTAAAGAAGTATATATAAGCGTATTCCTATATTTGCAAGAGGCCTCATATATTATGGGGAACATATGAGCACATATTTTTATGCAAATACCGGAAAGACTGAGTGAAATTTTATATAGTCTGTTGATTTTCACTTTAAAATATCGAGATACTGATGTTTTGTACGATAGAAAGCTTTAGGTGATGTTTAAAGAAGTTCCTATTTTATCTCTCGATATGATACTATTCGTTCACAAGTGTGTATGTATTGAGTTGTTAGATGTAGCTTGCTCAACAGTCAGTTAACGTTCCGCATGCCCAGTCCACGCAACTCAGGTTCCTGGTAAATTCATCGAAATTTACTCCTCGAACCCATCCAACTATCGAAAACCATCACCTGCTCTTGGTTTTGGTCAGTTGCATGGTCAAATTTTTGGGGAGTCCCCGGACAAGCGCAACTCAGGGTTAGCTGAAACGAGTACAATCAGACCTCAAACGCGGCATGACCGTTTTCCTGTCTCGAGTTCCTGACTAGTAGTAGGATATATCACGTTCACATGATCACTTGTCTCCGCCGGGGCGGCGGTCCCTCCGGACCGCCCCTTCTGCGGCCTATATCAGCAACGCGCCTCTGACCCGTCGTCTATCCGTATTTTTTAGTTCGTTGTTCAGTTCAGTCCCACGGCCGGGCGTCTTCCACGCTCCATATCCTCATAAACTCCAGATTAAAATGTTGCCGGACGACGTGACGCCGAATAACTACTGGACGCCATACGTTGCCTCCGCAGTACAATCAATACCCTCATAACTTTGTCAATTATGCCACTCTAACCTCCACCGAGCTAAAATCAACCTAAACATTCCACAAGACGCGAGCGCCCAAGTCGTCCCGGTAGCATCCCCAATACACGCCCTCGCCACCGGGGACACGCCACCGCACGACCACAGCCCACGACGTCGATGTTTATCTCGACGCATCGATAATAAACCAAAATCGAAAGCAAACACACGAAATTTTTTTCATCCGTCAAATTTCAAAATCATGCTCATTCCGCGATCGTCGGTAGGCGAGGGCGTCTTGTCGATTTCAAACGGAATCTTTTTTTTAAAGTGAGAGATCGTTTTTTGAGTCTTAAAAGCCTTCGGACGCATCAGGTGCCACTTTGAATAGATTTCCTTTGAAGCCGACGTGGGTCTTAAACGTCGGCAAACATTCCACCGGTAACTAACATATTGTTTGAATTGTTGTATAGTACAAAACTGACTACCTTTGCTAATTACTAGTTATAATACTAAGCTGTGTGCCTTGAGTAATTGCAAAATGACCTGCTATTTCATAATGTAACAGCCTGGGTGCTATGAAATATTATATCTATGTTTTTACATTGTAAGGTACAAAATACAGATGTTTATAACGATACAGTGTTCGTATTCAAATTGCAGGAACGTTCGGCGTAATTACGTCGATAACGGCCACCGCGCCACCGTATAAAACGACCATTTTTGGTTTTATGACCGAATGCAAATTATTTGTGATTTCTTTACAATTTTTTGTATTATCGAAGCCCCGTCCCTATTTCCTAAATTCTGTAAACATCTGCTTTGGCGCGTGCCCACCTCCCTTCGACCTCCCCTCTCTCTAACCTTGACAAAAACCCCTAAAACGCGTTATTTTTTTTCATACTTGTAGGTAGAATTATGCATCTGTTCAACACTCGCATTATACATGCTCAATCTAGCCGAATGATTTAAAACCGGTCACGAGCAATTACGAACGTCTCCAAGATGGCCCCGGGAGGGGAAGCAATTAATTAAAGCGCTTTTTAATTAACGGCGCGCGGAGGGATGGATGATTGCCGTTACCGTTCCGCACAAATCAATTACTGCAGTCGTACGAATGCGTTTCTATAGGAAAAAATTTGAATACGAACACGTGGTATCGAACAATCGTGCTACTTGTGTAACAATACGTGCATAATTTATGTGCAAAACGCCATAGAAATGGAAGTGAGCCTTGATAAAACACTATTCGCACGTCAGTTGTTATTTAGCAGGCGACCACGTAGAAAAGGCCTCACTTTTTAACAAAAAAATTGTAAGGTGTTCGATTTAGGATTAAATGAGCAAAAAATCAAAATCGCGGTTCGTATCTCGCGGACGTTCCATGTTAATCATAAGTTGTTCGTAGTATAATGTTCCAGAACTCTCGAGGTACGAAACGCGGCACAATAAATTCTTATTCGTTAAAAATTTTTTAATACGGGTTCTATGATTGCGTTACGCTAACTTATCTGTATGTGTTGAATTTTTTTAGGAATCGCGTTGGAGTTTTACCTTATTTTTAAAAATTTAGAGATATGTGTTACGAATTTAGTGCACACTGTCCTAAAAAGTGTCCGCACGTCTAGTCCTAAACTAGTCATTTTTTTATTAATTAATTAATTAGTGGATTAATTTAAACAGTCGTCGTTTATTTATCGATTCTAGTCAGCGTTGTGTGCGCATTTTTCTGTGTTTTAATTAAATACGATTGTTTACTTTGGCGATAAATTGTGTTTAATTTGGTTGACTTTTTTAGGTGACAGTGTGTATAACTTTGTCTAAATGTTTGGGCTACAAGAAAATCCCGCAATAATAGAAACCCTTAGCAACAAAAGGTTGCAGAATGTTTTCGACGTTACAGAAATTCTATAATTATTGTCCTATTGATTTCCTATCGTATTCGTTTATCTCTAGCACATCTCAAACCGCAGAAACCTTTGTCGCTTCATTGGCGTGCAGCTTTATAACTTCATCTCTCTCTCGGAAAATCCGGGTCCGCTAACATTTATTATTTTCTTTAATTTACGTATTCACTCGGATGATCGGATGATAGAAAGATAGATAAAAATTCGGTCGGTTTGCGTCCTCCGATAAACCGAGCAATGACGGACGCGGCTTTTGTTTGCGGATGCAATATTTGAGTGCGTTTTTAATGAAAGTCGTAAAAGGAAATTGGTATTTTGTAAAACTGTGTAGCGCGATGAAAATAATAAAGGTCCGGCGACTATGGATTTTGCCCTCGCTTGTTTGGTCATTTAGCTGCCACCCCTGATAAAAGAAATGGGATAAACCTATATTTTTCCAAATCCACATTTCAGTAAATTTACGACTCACATATAAAGGCGCGGTTTCGGCGTGCGGAAAGCAACGTCATACACTCGGAGAAACTTAATGAAATAGGCCGGCTTCCCAATTATGAAATTGAAACCGCCGTATTATTAAAAGTTTTTTCTCGTCTTATCATCTAAAGGAGAATAATTTTTATAATTTCTCTTTGTCATCTCTAGGATACGAAATGAAAAAGTGTATTTTTGCCGGAAGCAGTTTCTTCGTCGAGGCCGGTAATCTAATTTACACAACACGCATCGAGGTTTTCTCTGTCTTTTATCTATTTTATAAATTTATCTTTTTCCTCCCTTAATTTCTGGGAATCACTCCAATTTTCTCTGTGTCTTTACACATTTTTCCGTTTTTATTTATTTCGGCCCTACCTCCCGAATTGTTTTTCACAAAACTCGCTCATATATCATTCATAAAAACGTGGCTCAACCCTAATGCCACCAAATTGATAATTCGATTGACTCAGCTAAAACACTAATTACCACCACGGAATTAATATTGCAAGAAAATTTTCTACCTCCGACTATAAAATATTCACGCGGACAATCAAACGTGCTTAATGAAATTTAACGAGTTCCTTTCGCACCCCCTTCACCCAATTACCGTAAAATTTTCACAAGGTACGGTGTTTAATAAACGAATTGTTTCCACTTTTTGTGATTTAGGGGTGGCCGCGTGCAGCTGGTCGCTCGAACCTCCCGATTTTTATTAAAAAAACCACGTATTTGGCGAAGTTTTCGTTTAATCCGTTGTTATTGTGGCGACAGGCAGATGTTCGGAATGACATCAAAATATGTAATTATTGTAAAATGAGGGTCGTATTTTACGCAAAAGGGGAATTTCGTCCCAAAGGGGTAGTCCGTCGTACTACCGACGACAAACAACAGGTTTAACCGTATGTTGATTTCCAGATTTGTGCAAAATCGTCGGGCACGTGTCCTTTTCTCTTGTTATTAAAGCTGGCGTTCCTTTGTTGAATCCTTCAAAATCGTAACGGGAAGATTAAATTGATTTCTCCCTTCGCATTTAGGGTGAAATTTCAAATGCACAAATAAAATAAACACGCGCTTTTAGGGGCAAACGGGGTAAAATTGGCAAGTTGCAGCCGTCCCATTGTCAACGATAATCCTTTATCAAAAACGGCGGAAGATTAATTCTTTCAATCCGTCGGTCGGTCGGTCGATCGGTCGGTGTCACCGTGCAGTCAGTCAAGAGTAGTCCAAACATTTAGTACCCACGACGCCACACGAAACACAATTAGTACTACAGAATTGTCGCGGTTCCGACGAAATCTCAACGAGAACGAGGAGAGCAGAGCAGAGGCGACGATTCTCTATTGAATTGTTCTTTTAGGACTTTCTTAGGGTTCATGCAAACGACTGTATCGTTGTTTCGTGGAATCGAGACGAATCTGTATTGTGATAGGTGATCAAAGAAGCGGGAGAGCCGCTGTGTCCGTCACTACCTCTATATCTTTCCGGTTTCCCGGAGATGGATGACCACGGTGCAAGCCGAGGAGTTCCTGTCAGCTTTATAAACAAATTAACCTCAATTTCCAGAATCGCGACGATTCGCGACGCTGGAAATCAAAGCGTATATATCTGGAGTAAGTGACTCTGCGCGAATGTTGCTGAAAGGCGTGTTGTTATAATTATACTATAAAATCGGAGGCACAAAATCAAAATTAGTCTTAAGGATGTTTAGGATACCACATAAGTTATAGAATGTTTTTGTAGAGTATTTCACATGAGATTATATCTATTTACATTGGAGACTCAGATATATAAAATATACATATAAATATAACTATTTTCATATTATTCTGCGTTTTAAATAAGGCGCCCAATGAATGGTTTGGAATAGATTGTGTAAGTGTTTATGCTTTATCCTTTATGTGTTATGTCTGTGTATAACGTATCAAACTATTACTATCTCCCAACTGCCATCCGTTTTTTCTTTCGAACAACTTCCTAATATGTTTATAACAATATACAATACAACAAACAGATTTGAACCCGTTGTTGTTGAATATTTTATACGAGTTACCCAACAAGAATAGAACAAACTGTAACGCGGTCTCAACCAAGTATTCTGCAACCGCGACTAGATTGTATTGTTAAAGTTTTGTTGATGAATCTGTTGAGGTTGCACAATAATTGAGACGATACTCTATCGAAACGTCAATCCCCTAGCTATAGCAACCCTTTTCTTTTAAAATTTAAGTTCTATTCTTGTCGTTGGAAATATTTAATCAAAAAAAATGTAACAAACGGTCTAAATATGTGCCCGTAGTTGATCTAGTCTAATCTAGTTTTTATTTAATCATAAAAATACAAAGGGTGATATAAATAAATTTATTATAAAAAACGGCGCATGTTCTGACCGTTTCCTTAGTAACTTCTGTAGTAAAACTTACACTTTTTACATTTTCATATTCAGAAATGAGTATTATTACAATGAAATGTATTGTACTTGCTAAGCATACGGTTTAGTGGCAAATAATTATGTATTATGGATAGACCTAAGAAAAAAAAATAAAGAAATATTTGGAGAAATTACTATCACTCATTCATCTCCCACCCTCCTCTATAGTCTATATCACAGGTAAGTGTATAACTGGTTGCATACCGCTTCAGATTTTTTATCTTAAATTTTACCCTTCGGGTCATACCGCACGCAAAGAAACGATAATTTAATTAAAAGGCCATTTTTATTAAAAATTAACAAAACCATCATCTAAATGATTTTTTTTCATGCTCCTACAATATTAGACACATCGTTAAGACCCTATTAAATATTAAAGCAAAGTTTTAATGTATTATCTTGTTATTTTTGTAAGGACTCCGTAATGCGATATTCGACGGACCATAGGTCGACGACTTAAGCTCAAGACGGTACAAAAGATAATTTACTCAATTACATTACTAACGTCGCAATTCTACTCCTCGCCGATACACATTTTTCAAGAAAAAAAATAAAGGATAATCGATAAATAAGGAGCCAGGAGCACTCCTACCTACACATTAATTATGCACATTAATAATAAATGCGGGGGCAAACCTCAAATCAGATAATTACAGCTTACGCAAGCGAGGAATACGATAATTCGGTAATTTGATTAATTTTTAATTGACTATTGAACTTTACACATACAGCAACTTCTTAATTCAAATACAGTCGCACTTTCATAACTCGAACACTTTTAATTAGCACGGTTATAAAACGACAAAAGTTCGACTGTATTTCTTTTTGACCCCAGCGGTACAATGTCAAGTGTATTGAAAACTGTCACTTCATTGCCTGTGATTTTAAACCCTCAAGTACGTGGTGCCATACCGAATCCTATATTATCAGGATTACTGACGCAAATTTAAATTTCTGAATCGATAATATCATAGCCAATAAGTGTTTAATTCGATAATAGCACTGTTGGTTCTTTGTGCAAATGGCGCCTGATTGATAACTGATACGTGATGCACGTATCAGTATTAAATTTTTTATAGAAATATAGAACAAATTGCTAAATTATGGCGCGTGATCACTTTTTCATTTCTTAGATATTTGTTATTGTCGTTGGTTATTGTTGCTCATACAACGTGATAATATTTAAAATGTGTATATTTATTTTATTGACTTTTGCGGCTGACATATTTTACTAGAGTCAAGGATATAAATAAATAAATTGATTGATGTTATCATTTTCTTGCCACGCTAACCTGGAACCGTACAAAATACTTATGCGAGCTGCTCAAAGATTTTATTATTATGTTTCCAAATCTAAATTAGGGCGTAATTGGGCAACTTTATAACTTTTTCTGGAGTAAGCTGAACATCTTTACGTTCGAAACGCAGCAGGTAAGTAAAGATCTTTCTTTAGTACAGTGCGCCGGAAGGAAAAAGTCGGCTATATTTTGTCGTGTGTTATATAACTATGAGTTTCAGAACGACAAACTGATTTAGTGATTTCTCTCCTTCGACCATTGTTATAGAAAATAAATTTATACAGCTTTTTCTGCACTCGGATGATTTATGACGACTAGCCGTGCTTTTGTCAAGTTGGCGAGCGCTTTTGAGACAAGGCTATCAAAGAAATATCGGCAAAATCGCTCACGAAAAACTAAATAAGTGAATAACTTTTCCATTAGTGACGTCAAATTTTGACAAAACTGCGCTAAATTATTTTGGTTGACGTAAAATTTTAATAACCTCAATTTTTAACTAAATTATACCGTAACAATAAAATTGTCATAATGGATTTAATTTACTTTTTTCGCTTCATAAAAAAATTAACAAGCGTAGTTTAACACTATAAGTGATACATAACACGTAACTGACAGGTCATACCCAGATATACCACAAAAACTTAAAAAGGAAAAGAAAAACAATAAATGTCGCACGATTCTGGGAACGGAAATGGTCAGGTGTTTTGTCATTACAGTATTGATAAATATCTCATCGCTTGGTTAATACAATTTTGCATGGCTGATAATATTTTGTTGTTCAAAATGTTGACTGTCCTTCAAAAGTTCGCTTGAGATTTTCTTTTTTTAGATATTTCATATACGTCTGAAGTAGTATTAAAAGATATAATACCAAAAACATATTGGTTCAAGACATATTTTATGTCATTAATTTTTCATCTCCGCCTCTCAGGTCAATTTCTTACCAATATCACGGAATTAGCTGTTTCTTATTGTTTTCCTTTTGAGATATGGCTAATTGAAGACGTGAAGGTAACAATAGCATATTTATTTTTATTTTAGAAGAGTTAAGAGCAGACGGTCGAGATAAGATTTCCCAAATAAATTTTGGAGTGACGTCAACTTTCAGGTACAAGCTAATCACCACAGAAATGTATCCAACTAATTATTAACCTAACCTTTTTTAATAGAATTCTAAAATGACGTCACCAACTTTAGCGAGAGCATGAAGAAACGAATGTTAATGAGTCCTTTGCAATTAAAAGTAATAAAACTTGCTTTGTTTTGCGCGTTTTTAAAGTATTGACTACAGCTGTGTTATTTTTGTAACTTGTATAAATTTATTTTTTAGTATCACTTAAAAATTACCACTGACGTCATGACCCTGAAGGCGACTATTAGGAATTCTTGTGTACTTATAATTTCAGATTTATTGTTTTAGTTTCAATAATAAAGTAGTGACAATGTCAAGCAAAAAAAAAATAAACGAAATATAAAACAAAAATGTGAAGCTTATCGCTGCCAAGGTCTGCCTCATCGGAACAACTCCATTTTCTTGTGCTGTGTATGGTGAAGTGTGGATTTCATTTTGACTAAATTTATAAGAGACATGTCAAAAAATTTAAAGTGCATACTAGTGTTTTCACCTGGCAACACTTCAAAAAAAAATCCAAGGCCTAGTGCACATATGCAGTGACAATGCGATAAGCGGTTGCGACAAATCTTATTGTAAATGGAAAATAACTATAATTTTTAACGACGAGTTGAAATATTGTAGTCATATTTCATACTTTTCAATCAACTAAATATATAAAAGTAACAGTGATTTGAAAAAACTTAAAATGATTATTTGTCAACGTTCCACCAAAAGCCAGAAGTTCTTCTCAAAATCGGTAAGTGAAGCTTATTTTAAGTAAACTTAAGTAGTTCTAAGATGTGAACTTCGTAACTATTCGCCGTATTTGGATAACTGCGTAATTTCAGATAAAAATGGAAATTTTTGTTTTTTAAAGTAAAATTTTGTTTCAAGTTATGGTAACGGGGACACTCAAATAACGTGTTTAGAAAATATTGTGTGTATACATACGTCGGAAAGTATGAAGTGAGCAGCCAGGCAGTGATCCAATTGTGATAAGGTCGGCCAGATCGATGGAGCAAAACGACTTAATTTGTTGGTGTTAGTATAGAAGTAGCGTTCGGATTCGGGGCCGCCGGAATTTTGGGTTAATTATTTATAACTTAAATACCTTTGAGACATAAATGTCGTACTATTAAAAGAAATAACAGCGATATATAATATTATTTACAATGAAAAATATGCTAATGAATTACGATATTATCGTCAATATTTCGGGACTGCATCAAGATACATACTTAATTTTTAATAAATTATTTTTGCAAATATATTTTGCCACGTTATTCAAATTCTTATCAATAAACAACACGAAAACACATAATTTGGCTTTTAAAACATATTCCACCGATATGCCGGCGTATTTTCGATTTTCGGTATTGAAGGCTTTCCGCATACAAAATTGGCACTATTTCGTAAAATTATATCCTATTTACGTGACTAATTACCTTTAATCGTACAGGCTGATTCGTTTTCAATATCTTATGTAACTTAGCATCTGTTGTATTTAATCACGACTCTGCTTATTTATGTTACTTATTAATTCCACTACTAGTAAGGCCACTTTAGAACACAAGACGTTTAATTTAATTCTGACGCACGTGGAAAACTGCAGTACGACATCGTGTGAATTATGTCAATTTTTTTAAATTTATTTTCGCATTATTACACATCCTTCTGTGGACTTTTTGATTTTCTAGGAGTTGTTTACCGCAAATTTATAACTAACAATTATTATAGAGGCTATTAATTTAATACAACTTCGTTTCTGTCTCCTAGTCATACCCGAACTGCACCAACTAAAATCATATACACACGACGACGTCTAGGTTATGTTTGAGAAATAAGCTAAAATATGTTGTCGTTGTTTCCCCAGCGTAAGCTAAAGGAAATATTGTAATAAGACTATTTCATACTTCTTCCAAATTTCGCAGCTCATGGAATACGAAATTAGCGACCTCCTTTGCTTGTCCTCCATCTACTGTCTGCCGACGACACTGCAAATAGTAAAACTCTAATCGAAATTTGTTTGCCCATCCCCTCCAAAAAATCGATGACGTCTTGAAATTTTTTTTAACAAAAGAAACAATATTATCGTCGTCATTATCCACTCTTTTTAAGTTCTTTTTGATTGTAGTTTACACAAATCAATAATCACTAGAAGTCTTCACACACTCCAGAGAAACTTTTTAACACGAAATATAATGAATATAATGCTGGATCATTAAAAGTTGTAACAGTACGACGCATTGGGTCAAGACCATGAATAACAACATACTAACTTAAACGAAAAGCTATACAAAAGTCAAAAACTTGTGGCTTATGACTAAAGTTGGACACGTGTGTAAGTTGCATATTGATTATTATTATTATTATATATTAAAAAATTACCTGACCCCAAAGCATATTTTGGTCGAAATGTGTCTATAATTCCACTACTAACTAAATTTTATAGAATGGTCGGGGTTAAAGTACACTGCATCTGAAACGACCGTGATCAAAATCATATTTGTTTTCGTGTGATAATTGTGACAAAAAAAGTGTTTTGTAAATAAGATAATCACGACATCTGACATCTGATGCACATAATTTTAATCAAGATCATTTTCGATCAAAACGCGTAACTGATTATATCACCACCGAATTGTTTCAAGTGACTAATTTGTAAAAGATTTTGGCGATTTTTGACTACATTAAAACAAGAATCTTTCGTTGTATTTTCTTTTTAAAACCATCTGATTATTAAAATCAAATATTTACACGTGCTATATGTTAGAACAAAAATCTAAATGAGGGTGAGGCAATTAAATATTATAATATTGCATATCGCAACGATAATATCGCGAAACAAAGCATTTTTCACACGCATTGTTACAAATTATTAGCAGAATTCACATGATCTTAACGAATACGTCGCCACTTGAATATTTATTGCCCTAATTTTAACTAAAAATTCTAATCTCTTTTCATTATAGAACTGTATATTTTTGTAACGCTATGGTAATTTGGTTTTATGTTTATTGGCCAACCTATATGTTCATGTAGAAAAAAAAAAACAACGTTAAATTAGATGCAGATTAAGATTATTGTTTTGGTATTTGGTAAAAATACGCTTGTCAAAAGTTAGATAAATGAGCAATAAAAGTCAAAATTGTATATTTTTAACCCTCTGTTTAAAAACTATTATTCTAAAATCTACTGGACAAAGTCAGTTTGTTCAGGTTATCATGTCAAGGCAAATTTTTCTGTTAAACCCTAGATAACAAATTCCCCTTAATCATCAACCGATTTTCATCATTTTTTCAATGAAACTACATTTTTTGGATTTACCACTCAACAAATCTAAAGTATAATCGTTCAATAAATCTCCTTAACACACATCTTTTAATCTGATAAAATTTTTGCGTCTACTTTGTTATCAATGTTGTGTTCTGACATAGAAATCGGTCACTAAAGACCAGGTTTTAGCTGGTTCAAGAAAATCTGCGTAACTTCCGTTATCGGAAGGGCTTTAATCGGTATATCAATGTCCAAAATTTTTGCATCAATCTAAAGTACCTGGGTATCATAATCAGCTAAATCATTGTTGTCGGAATGATTTCGAGTAATCGGTGGCAGGTGCCAGTTGGAATTAACGTCATCTATCCACACTTATCTCAGGTCATTTAATTTTAAATTGATTATAAATGTATTTTTAACTACTTTTGTTTCAATACTGTCGTGATTTCACCTTTTGATTAGTTTTTTCAACTACTTACACAATCACTTGTAAATCTCAAAAAGGAAACAATTTATCTGCCGCTATACAGGGTCGTGGAAAAAATGGAACATTGGAATTAAGAGCAACGCAAACTTCACCTCGACTGGAGTGTTATGAAGAAAACAACAATGAATTACTTTCCCAACTTCAAAAAAATACAATGTGAGGCTAAACGTTTCAATTAAATCGTTATTATCTCCATTGAAATGAAAATATTTGCTTTTAACTGTTAAAACACTGTTCCCACACACATTTTATAAACGACATTTTAATAGCGTTTTAGAATTTTTTGTACACGTATGACATACGAAAGTATAGCGTTCTAGTCTACCATTAAATAAGTCATCGTTCCAAAATGTATAACGGAAGCAATTCGCACCGTGAGAAAGAACCAGAAATTTTAAAAGCAATAAAGAATAAGAAGAAACGCGCTGAGAACAAGAAAGTGCAATAAATTGGCCACCATCATTGAAATTTACACACAGTGATAAAAATAATTATCTTTTGTTGTCTAAGTTTTTTTTTTTGAAATTTACAGGTTAATGGCCCAATTTAAACTTTTTTTGGTAACTCTCTGTCACTAAAACTAATTTTATTTCAAATCGTGCTTTCTGTCTTGTTACCAAATTGAAATTTTGAATTTGATTAAGGAATTTATTCATTATGATTCATAGAACCTTTGTTCCTTTGAGCCAAGCAACCTGAGACTAGGTCAACCGTTTAAATTATCATTATCATAATCCTATGCGGTTTAGTGCCTTCCGAGAAAGCACAAAATGAATGTTCCCTATTCTTGATTATACGTTCCACGAAACATCTTTGTTAAGAAATTTCTCAAACTGTTTTGCGTTGTGTTCCGCTGACGAGAAACTCGAAATTGTGTAAAAATCGGCAGCAACTTGTGATTGACGATAATCCCCGTAATCGACACTTATCCATTGTAATTACTGCACTTAAGCACAGATTATTGTGGCAAGTGCTTTAGAAAATTTCCATGAATGTCCAAAAATAGACAGTTTTAAGATGTTTAGTTAAAGCGGAAACAATTTCAGGGATTTTGGATATTAGTGTGAAAATCTAATCGCTGCAATATACTTAAATCGGGTCACTTGCACGCCGCGGTTAGTGAAAGGTCTAATCCCCAAAAAGGTTATTATTGTTTCCAGGTACAGTAGGACCCTTAATAACTACCTGCGGTCTAAAATTGTGTAGCTACGGTAGAAAACTTTCTACTGTCTAAATATATTGTCTATTTAAATCCTTTTGTGTATTTATAACCATAAAGTGTGTGATAACCATCAGTGAAAACGCCAGAGTCATAAACGGTATACCTATGCCCACCTGATAAGAATCTAGCAGTACAGGGATACAAAGATCAGCAGATCTGCTTTTATAAACAATGTTTCTTATACATTTCTCCGCTTGATTTTTTCGAACAATAAAAATATTTTCAGCACTGTATGCGTATTTGGTGATTAATAAATACGTGTGTGAGTGACTAACACCCACGTAAACGACTACACAGCTGTTTGTTATTAACCCTTAAAGCTATATGCATTTTTGTGACCGTGTTGCGTAAGTGACCATCCCCAAAAATCAGTTCCCTAAATTACGTGATTAACGAATTTACTTAAAATTAAAAAAACTATAATAGGGTATTAAATCATTAGATTTTTCAATCATACAGATTAGGATTAATACTGACATAATCTCAATGATGCTTGATATGAAAATCGCCGTCTGCACATTTATCAGTACTCATTTAAAACAAATTTTTGGTCACGTGCCAGGTAGTCTCAAAATAATACAAATTTTTGGAAATTGAGATTTGAACTCGTTTCGTATTTTGAATATAGTGCTACGTTGCCGTTTTGTTTGTTTTTTGAAAAATATAAAAACACCCATAACTACATATATAAAGTGAAATGACAAAAATACAGTACAATAACGTTTAAACGTACTCGTTATGCGAAATTAATCTCCATAGCTATTGCCAAGATAAGGGAACCGTAAAAAGGCGATCAATCCTATAAATCTAATCCTAGTCTATATCGCACGTAATAAACGCAATAACCCTATTTCAACAAAAAAATAAATCTGAAAATTACGATTATGTATCTTTGGGTTGGCGTTCTGCAACCGTTTTCGAGTAATTGAAGATTCCTAACTGTATTTATCTGTCAAATAATGACTCAATTAGAGTATCGTAAAGAAAATTAGCACTTTTTTTTTACAAAATAAAATATCTGAGGTTTTTTAAGTCGTGGCAGTAATAAGGATAAGTGAAGGTTACTGGGGCGAAAAGCTATTCCTTGTGATGGGGGGGATGTCCACAATTTCCTCCTATAACTGAGCGCATAACTACAGAGACGTAACTAAGATCCAAACAGTGTCTGACGTCACAATCTATTATCTAGCAATTTTCAAGAGTACCTGCGTGTACCTGGGATATTTCGCTTATGGTTTAGTACTTACTTATACTAGACCCAGTGCGAATGCTGGCCGTGGTTTTTGTCTGTCGTGCACGTGTTTGTGTAGTTCTGTAAAACTGGCTATTCTGAAAGTTTTTTCGTAAGTATTACTTTACTATTTATGATTTTTTCTTCACATTGTGCTCATTACACGATCTTTAATTCATTAACGTCGATAATTTATTTGACTCGATTACGCTTTTTAGTCTCGCGTTAATGACTACTTTTCCCACGGAGTCTTGTTTTGAGTAAAATTTAAGTAAATAATGACAGTTTTATCTCAGTAATAATAATTGGAGCTGTATTATTGTTACTTAAATCCGCCAGTCTCGCGATTTGATAACAGTAATTAAAATCGTTTCAGTAGGTAAATAATTATCGACTGTGAAAAATTTTAATTAAAAGTGTAAAAAATACAGAGATGACAATGCGCTAAATTACGATAAAAAAGTAGTAGATTCTTCCGTGATCGGTTTTTCTAAAATAAAGAATTCTGATAAAAGCTACTTGGCTGGAATTCTACGGAATATTTCCATGTGAACTCGGACAATTAATAAGATTTATCGTGCGATGATAAATAGAGTATATATACATAACGGTATTGTTCGGAAGAAATCACTCGATGTAAACATTTTTCAAAATTTATTAATATCAGTCTCGTGTGTGATAACACCACCAACAACTCAAAAAACACTTCATTGTAATTAGCTCTCTAATAAACGGAATATTTTCAGGATACGCGACATACATAAGTTTATCTCGTCCGGTAAACACAAAAGACTCTTCTCTTTTCATATCGCAAGAATTACAACCTTCCAATTGCGGGAAATTATTTAAATAACAAAGTTAACTTGAGGGTTCCGGTAGTAGCGAAAAATCAACTTGAACTAATATTAGGTGGTTCATGGCCACGACCACACGTACGAACCCCTTAAAAAAGTCTCCGTTTGCGGACAGCCCGTACATTAGCGTCATTATATCGCATTTATTTTAATTAAAGGTCATATATAAATTACGAATCGCTTCCTCAATTTTAATCGTGAAATTGTGTGCGTTACAATATAACATCAATTTTTTTCGCTTCCATTGTTTAATTGTTATTTTTTTCAACGTCCAACGAATTTAACAATAAGCTGGAATAATGAAACAATCGCTGCAGATATTTTTAAATTCAATTCAGATACAAAGGTAACGTTCGAAAGTTCAATAATCGCTACGAAGATGGTTCTTGTGATAACGATCTCTGATCTGTTTCCACACAACGATTTAGCTAGTTTCTGTACAATAAAAATATTACTTTTTTACGAAAAATGACTAGCAAACCGAAAATAAGAAAGTGTCGAGATTCAAGGTAATTAATGTATGACAACGCTACCATGACTCGAGAAAATATATTTGCTTGGACACTGGAATAAAATAGCTGTAATAAACTGATAAAAAAAAGAAATGTAAAGGAATATCACGCACACAGAACAGACGGAATAATATTTCGTCCGCTATACCTATGTACACCTGGTTTATTTTCGTCGGTTGACGTTTCACCCAAAGTAGACTCGATCCAGACGCGGTGTTACTATTTTAAATTTTATAAACGCCGTCTCATAAAAATAAAGCGGACACATTTTATCGTACTATTAAAACCTGATATCGGTCATAAAGTACAGTCGATACTTGTTAATGAAATTTTATAAACTGTCGTAAAGATTTAATAAATGTTGTATCGTAGACCTGGTTTAGTTTCTACTTGCATTTTTGTTTTTTACGAGTTTTAGTTGAAATGACACTTGTGAATTAAAAAATGAACTAGATATATTTTTTTAATCGGGAGTGGAAGCACAAAGTTCAAGTTTTTGTACAACTAAAGTACATAATTGTTGCTACACGAAGTGTACATGAGTTAAAAATTTTAAGTATCGTGCACTTACCTCAATCACTAGAATTTAAATAATGAATTGGATTCTACTACACTTCGACCAGATCAATCTGTACTGTAACTATATGTAATCCACAACGTTTAAGTCAAATTTCGCAAAAACATTGTCAAATGTGTTACAACCTGTTGTAAATCCATCAAAAACCGAGTGTTTGTGAAGGTATTATTGTCCTAATGATTTTATAAACTTCCTTCTTACTTTATGAGTTATTTTCTGATAAATATGATAACAGAGCGTGCGACGAAATACCCAAGCACTAAATGTTGCTAAACGAAAATTATAAAAACGTGTATGACAGTTACACAATATCTCAGTAGTTATGAATGGATATTCAGTCGAAGGAAAATTTTTCGTGTAATTGTGAAGCATTAGGTGGCGCGTAAATAGCTTATAATTACCCAGCGTCGACTCTACGATTGATTAGAAAGTATAAATCTGGGCAATAAAAAGCGTTTGTTTCGCGTAAATAACATCACTGCGATGAAATAACTTGTCGTTTGTTGTTTATAGCATCGATCGTGGTTGAAAATCGTTATATTGCCGCGATCATATTATCGGTCGATAACGTATTACCATAAAATTACGTTGTTTGTTCTATTATCCCTCAATTTACATCGAAAATTAGTTGAAACGTTGTCTTAAGCACGTCGAAGCGTTTCCGATCTATCGATAAATAAAATGATTTCGGGCGCCACTTGTAAAATTCGGAAAGTGGCCGTAACAGGGAAATTATAGCTGATTAAAATATGTTAATTTGTTTTCGGCCAACTTCCGAACTGTCGCATATAAGCGGAAATTGCAAATAATCGGAGGAAAGTATCGTAAAATGCTTGTTTTCGCGGTTATCGTTTTGGGAAAGCATTCTCTAATTTCCCGAAACTGTTTTCACTTAGTAAAACCACAATAAAACGTGTTTACTATAAATCTTCTTATCGTCACTTAATTAACTGTTGTTATTTTTATTAGGTAGCTTAACCCATTACTCACTCGCCAGACGAAAATTAAATATGCATCATTTACGCAAAAGTGCTCCAAACAAACCGACGTACGTTTATTAAGTGCAAAAATCACAAATCAGGATACTAATAAAATAATCCTCTAAGATTGCTATCGAACACGATAACATCTCGTGATGAACCTCCATCATTGTTGTAAAATACACGTAATATTCTAAAGCATGTATTAATTTTGACTATTTAGAACAAATTCGTTGTAAAACCCGTTCCCGGATTTACAAATAAAAGAATTTTGCAACGATGACGTACGACGTGAAAAAATTATAAAGCGCATTTTACAAACACTTTTTCCTTCCAACAGTGTTATTTCCATATAACCTCCGCTTTATCGTCATTTCTCACATTCTTTCACATTACTTACCTGTTGTTTTTCCAATTCAATCCTATTTCCTACTTCAAAAAATGCAACAATGATCATTATACAGTCTCAAGTGTGTTCATTACGTCAATATGACGCCATTTGCGAAAGTGTTGCAACGTTGAATTGTATTGTGTGCAAGAATAAACAAGATGCCGATATTTTATCAACACTTCAGAAGTTGATACATTTTTTTTTAACCGACGAAAACGTCAAGATTTTATCTATACATTTTTTAACAATTAAATGGCCATTTATGATGTTATCTGCCATCACTTATAAGAAGAATTGTGCTTAAATCTTGTCACAAAACAAAAGTGTCTTCCAAACCTCGTAAGTACGATATTCTTTAGTTAATAATTATTGAAAGGAAAGCAGTTAGTCTAAGCTGATCTAATTCGAATTTATCTGAGTGTTGTCGTGAGCACAATGGCGTAACGTTCTTGAAAAGAAAACCTTTTTTTAACCGCAAGATGTTGTAAGGCGGTAAAAGCGAATTTTCTGTGTGGCAGTTAAGCAACGTTTTTGTAATCGATTTAGGTGGCAAAAAATAAATCAGATATGATGGAACCGTTCTAAATTGATAGTTAATCAAACTATTAATTGGAAACGAGATAAAATTCCCTTTATCTATAATATATAAGTATCATTCAAAAGTGTAAGCATCATTCGTTTACGAAAACTCAAAATGTAAGCAGTAGTGCGTTTTTTTAAATCGAAGATACTCATCGAAGATCAATGTAATCGTTTAAGGTAAATATCCTATGAGATAAGTGCTATTGTAATTTTCCTCGTCCTATCAAATAAACAATTTTTCCAAATCATATGCTTGTTGAGTTTTGTCATTACGTTGTATTTGTTGCATTTGTGTTTTGATAAATAAAAATTTCACACGAATCTGACAAAGCAAATAACAAATTCATTGACATATCGAATTCTTGAAATTTTGACGCAGAACTCACCGCGGAATTAACAAACATAAATATTGTTGCCGTTGTTATTACTACTGCATTCAACTTATCTTGGGACAATAAAACACAATTTTAATTACACTTAGACTCTACTTTATGCCAATTAAATTATAATTTTCCGTATTTCTTTGTTCATGGAAGATTTTCTTTTAGATTAAATCTTTTTGAATGGTCGTCAAGGACTCATTCACATCGAAAATTGAACGCATTTACGAGAAGTGAAATTACGAGAGAAGTTTTGGACGGAATTCAACCTATTCATACTTCAAATCCATAAACACAGAAAAGTAAGTATAATTTATGTTTTTCATTAACACCGACACCACATTCCCTCGGCTAAACTACTATTACGCGTTACATTCTGGACGTGTGACGAGAGAGAAAACTCGTTATGAGTTTCGAATTTTCTGCGTACGGAATGAACTATTTTATCGATACTGAAGGTGATGATTTCGAGGGAAGAAACGCGTCAATAGTTACCTTGTGGTTAAAAAAAAATGCACGCCTCGGATATTCATGAACATTTATCGTCGTTTCCGCGTTATGTAAGCGATATTACATATATTAGAAACCACAAATCATATACCACACATCTGGTGTAGTTATACAATGGTTTAAATTTTTCCATGAGGTACGTTTTTAGTTTTTTATAACTAAATGTAAACCCCAGTTCTATCAAAAGTCAGTTGAAAGAGGCGGAACCGCGTTTGGTTCCATGCTTTTGTTGTACCCTATACAACATTATCTTTTTTCAAAATTTTAAAAATAATGGGTAATTGAGAACGCATTCTCACGTAACTATTATTTAGTTAAAATATGCACATTTTTCTAAATTACTCAGAAATCAATGAAAAACTTACCATTATTTCCACATTATGTAAATACTAAATTCGCAATATAAATTGAAATTGTTTTCGTGATCCATTACACAGTCATTATAACCACAAAAGTACCCAGTATATCTTCTGAGGTTACACAATTAATTTAGATCCATTTTTTTACAATAAACATTTTCCATTCTCTGGCTTGTTCTTGCCAAAAACACAAACTATACAATACTCACTCCACTTCAGATAATAAAGTGTAACAAAACTACTATATTTCGATAAAAGAATATTTTCACTTCAACGTTACTATTTAAAAAATTAAGGCTGTTGCTACCGTGACAAGCTCATTGGTGCTTTATTTTATTTTATTCTTCAGATATATTTAATGATTTTAAGAGGAAAATAATCGAACTGTGTTTACGTAGTTTTAATTTCGTAACAATAGTCATACGAATTGGTCAAAATACTTTTCCATAACAGAACAATAAACAACAAAATTATTTTATGCGCGATAAAGTTTTGTGGTTTATAAACTTTATGCTTTTTCGTTCAAGATTAGCAAATAAGTAGGTCGAAAACAAGAAGGTGTCAATTTTGCACTCCATACCACAAACTCTCATAGAGTTGGACCAAAGATATTTCTTGTCATTTAGTTTATCTAGATTATGAACTATCTATTATTTTATGCTCCGATTTATAATTACAATGAACATTTTCAGAATGGTTGTGTATCCATATTCTGAGGACAATTTAGACCCACATGTCACTTTATCTGTGATATCAGACAAAGTTCCCGAAATGACAGACAATCAGTTAACAGTGTCGACGATTGTTGGTCTATCGCCAGACTTATCTAATACCAAAGAGATGGAAGCAGAAAATGGTAACTAAAAAAAATCAAACTAAAGTCAAAATAACCCAATTTCGTATATTTAGTTAAAGTTGAATCTCTATACAACGGCAAATCTTTGGAGTCGATAAAATCCATCACCGTTAGTGAATCCGATGCCGAAATAGACGCCACGACGCTAGAACAAGAACGGTGGTACTCTATAACTCTACAAGTCTTCATTCCTTTCATGATCGCAGGAGTCGGGACAATCGGTGCTGGAATCGTTTTGGGCAACGTTGAGGTAAGATTTTCATTATTTTCGTACTTCTGGAACCACAATTTCCAAAAATTTAGAACTACGAAGTATTCCGAGAAGTCAAAGCTCTGTACATCTTGGTGCCATCCATAATCGGCCTCAAAGGCAACCTGGATACGTGTTTAGCCTCCCGTTTATCCACGCAAGCTAACCTCGGCAACATGGAGTCTAAGCGCGAGTTGTTCAAAATGGTGGTCGGTAACGTCGGGTTGGTCCAAGTAAGATGAAAAAAAATTTCGGAAATGTTTCATTTGATTGCTTCGTTTTAGGTACAAGCTATAGTTGCGTCTTGTTTGGTTGCTATATTCGCTGTGGCGGCGTCTGCGGTAGTCAATGGCGGCTTCGACTGGGGACACGCGTTGTTGCTGTCGGCTTCGGGAGTGCTAACGGCAACGATGTCTTGTTTCATCTTAGATTTTGTACTAACTGCAGTGATAGTCATATCTCATAAACTGAAGTTGAACCCCGACAATGTTGCCACTCCTTTTGCAGCTAGTATTGGAGATATTGTGTCACTTCTAGTCTTGTCCACGTGGGCCAGTTTGCTGTATACAATTCATGGTTAGTACGACTTGTTGCAAAATGGCGTCGTTTTATACTTTTCTCAACAGACAAATACCCATGGGTCATGATAGTCATTGTGGGAGTCTACGTTCTATTGATATTACCCATATGGATATTCATCGTCAGGAAAAACAAATACACAAAAAAAGTTCTAACTCACGGATGGACTCCAGTTCTCAGCGCTCTTATTATTAGCGGGTAAGTTATAATTTTCTTAGCATGTTGATAATATGTATAGTTTACCGCAAATTGCAAGTGTTTAGAAAGGAAGTATGCAATTTTGACCACGAGTGACTGCATTTACAAAGTTCAACTTTGTACAATTATATTTTTACAAAGCTTCCGAATTGCGCGCTACTTAACGTCAATTATTTCGCAAAATCGTAAAAAATTTATGGAACGAGTAAATATGAAACGAATCGCGTAGAAATTAACATTGCACATAACTTTAACCATACTCGTCGAATAAATTAAAGCTAATTTCGCGCTCTTAGTAATTCGTAATCCGCATTATGCACACACGTCACTCTGAAATTCCAAAAATGTATAAATTAGCAGTTGAAAACCAGTGTGGGAAAACAAAATCGTGCCTCACATTTAACACATCTTCAGGAAATATTTCCGCGTTTTTTCTTCAAACTAGCGTGCCATTAATTTTATACTACTTGACAACAAGGGTCACTGAAGTACCAATACCTCTTCGAACTAGTTCGGGAAACTTTAAAACTTTACCCTCAACAATTAAACTTTGTCTCTCAAGTTTGATCCTCGTTTCCGTGCGAACTAGTTTCGAAGTCGAGGGATGGTCGCTCCGGGTTGTGGGTTTTTTGCCCGACCAGGAACTCGCCAAAACAATACAGCGTCAGTTAGATCATGACATTGAACAAAATTTCCTACGGTTATGGTCTGCAATATTGGCATTTTTTGTTTTAATTGTATTGACGTCTGCAACCTTGAACGTGCATTTACCTATTCTTTTTGCAGAATGGGCGGGTTGGTACTGGACTCCGCTGTTGACCAGTTCTCTGGATTCGTGGTCTTCCAGCCCATCATCAACGGTATCGGTGGCAACCTGGTGTCGGTCCAGTCGAGTCGCATCGCCACGATGCTCCACAAAACTTCCTTGATGGGTGTGATCCCTCCACATACCAAGCAGTGGGTTTGGCCATGGACGGCGCTCATCAGAGGAGTTTTGCCCGCGAAGTCCGCCAGAATCCTCATTCTTCTGATGATCCCAGGGCAGGCAGTTTTTGTGTTCGTTGCTGATCTTATTTACAATGATGGAGTGTCGTGCGTGACCCCAGCGTTTGCCTTCTCGTACATTGGAGTTAGTTTAATACAAATTGTTTTATTGTTGTATATCGCTCACCTTATGATACACACTATGTGGAGGTTTAAGATAGATCCGGACAACTCTTCGATTCCATATTTGACAGCTCTGGGTGATCTGCTGGGGTCTAGTCTTCTACTTCTCGCTTTTATATTCTTAAGGGAAATTCACCAAGACTATTCCCCGGTAGCTACCGAGGAAAGTTGAATATAATTCAGTACTTAATTTTATGTGATCGATAAGGTTTTATACTTAATATTTAATTGTATATACAAAGATAATGTACAAATTTATAGTATTACATACGTTGAATTTACACTCAACTGTAAATTTAAATGTGATCCTATTGCCAGTAATTTTATTTTATTAAGTTGTAACACCAATTTTAGTAATAAACCAAACATGGACAATCTTTATTTTTTCATTATTTCCAAAACGCATCTTCAAATGTTGCTGATATTCATGATCGGAGAAATCGTAAAGTAGGCAACCAACTTTACACACTCAGACTTGGAATTCTAAATACATAAAATGATGAAATGAATCAGGAGTTTTGCGATCGATAAAACAACCGATTGGTGTAAGAATCTTCAGTAAAAGTACCACCTACTTTCATTGGTGTCCTTAGATCCTCCAAGTAATAAATTCGATTTTTTTAAGTACCATACGTTACTTAAAACACATCAGGAATTAAGGCAATTGGAGGGGGGGGGGACCTTACAAGTACTGGCTCAATCTTCTCCGCCCCCCAGTGTTGCCCTTGCGTATTTTAACCTTGTAATGATTAATCTTTTTAGAAAATGTATTTATAATGACAACTTTTGCAACTAATTTATATCTACCTGACTTGACTTTAGTTGTTAGAAAGACAAGGAGGGATGGAAACCTTGATGAGTCTTCAAACGTCCTCATTGTGAAGTGATCAAGGGAACTTTAAAGAATTTAATTTTGGAGGCACAAACTCCACTACTGAGCGACTGATTTTATAAAAGCATTTTTTAAATTCTACAAAGAAAAAATGGACTCTCAAAGCTAAATTCTATACAAAGAATACTTTATTATAACATTTCCAAAAAACGTGGTGCAGACTAGCGTTATTGCATATTGTATTACATTTACAAATAAATAAAAATTATAGGAATATCGTTTTTGTGAATAAGTTTGGTTATGGGCGATGTCAGCTGTGTGTGTGTGTGGATTGTCAAATAACTGTGCTCATCTTCACTCGTAACAGTTATTCGTCTTCGATTCATGAAGCTGCCCTGAATTTCAAGGGATTTCGATCTGTTTTTAACTTTGTACTATATGGGCCGCAAATGTCAGTAATTTCAAAACTGGCAACATTTTTAATAGTTTGGGTGTAATATTTATTTAAATAACGCACCAATCTGTTACAGTAAATCTGTGACGAGGACTTGTCAAGAGGAGAGTGCCCAACTTTAAAATATTTTAAATTTCGCGCTCCCCCTCACGCATGCGCCATCGCCACCTTTACCTTGTCAGTGTGATTTTTATTCATTTTGTGTTACATTTCTGGCTCGTCGTTTCGTTATTTTTGTGAACATTTTTGTGGAAAATGGCAGAGGCGGCTGGTGCCGGGGAGCACAAGGGCACGTGCCCCCCCATAATTACAACGTCTACAAACCCAGTGGACAACGTAAGATAGTAATTTTCAACATTTAAAAAATTATCCCGAAATTTAAATAATTATCAAAAGTAATTTTTTATCTCGCTCCACGTGCATAAAATATATCAAAATTTACATCCACTTACATCTAAAGATGTGTGTCTTGGATATAATATTCAAAATACGTTATTGCTGATAAGAGCCGGGCACAGAGACTGAATCATCGGTGATTCACACGTTTTGTTTACACCGTTGCCATGGAAACCACACATCCTAGCCGCCTGATACAACTAGACTGTGGTCGCGTTGCGCCGTGTTCGGCAGGATTGAGTCACTTACTACGGCGAGTTTTAATTTTCATTCTGTGCGAATGGGTATTACACACCGCCTATATTAATAATATTCGGGCACATAACGCAAGGGTCGACAAAAATCGCCATATATTACGCCAATTGATAATAATGTGCATAAAATTTTGTGAACGTTGAGATTAGGAGTACCGATTTTTTTGATTCCCACAACTTTGCGGTGATATATAACGTCACCTGTGAATGTGGTGTGCGGACTTTTAATTTGATTATGACGAAATCACATTGAAAAATTATAGAGTCCCGGGTAATTACCGAGAAAAGTTGAATATGATTCAGAACCTAATTTTATAGGATGAATAAGATTTTATACTTAATATTAAAATGTATATACAAAGATAATGTATCAATTTATAGTATTACTTTAATAATAAAGAAACATGGACAATTTCATTATTCCCAGTACACATCTTCGAATGTTGCTCACATTAAGATGAGAAATCGTAAATTAGGCAACCAACTTTACAACACTCAGTACTTGGAATTTTACATAAAATGATGAAATGTATGAGGAGTTTTCGACCAGTTTATCTCACCATGTATTAATTTATACACAAACATATTTATTATTACTAGATTATTATTATTATTAGATTGAGCTGCTTAACAGGAACCCGTTATCAGTCAGCTTTAAAAAGAGACGTGAAGATTATTAAAGAAGTAATTAATTAGTAATTAATTAGAAACCGGAGTGTTGCGTGTAGGTAAATAGTGGTACTAGGATATCAGAAGCTCATACAACGACAACTGATCCAAATTTTGGTGTTAGCACCACAACCTGATATCCATCCATAGGACAGATAACAGTACCTACAGCGATTAGCCATGAGGAAGCAAATGGTACTTATCAATCACAATAGAAATAATAACAATTTATATCAGTGAAATTACGACAAGAACGAATAATGAATCCAAGAAGCTTGATAAAGTCAATATGAAGATCAAAGACCAATTGTTGATCGAACCAAATGCCCAAATCTTTGATAGAAGTGTATCTTGTTATAAGTTCTCCCTCAATAGAATAACCATACTTGACAATAGTAGATTTGCCAGTAAAAATGATCATCAATATCTCTTTCAATTTCTTGTCTTAAAGATTTAAATTTCAGCAAATAATAAGCAGATTTTGATTTTTTATATTTTTTAAATATTATGCTTTATAACTCAATTTTGCAAATATTTGAAGTGCACCAAGATGGATAAACCCGTTTACGATGTTTCTTTCTAGGGACATACATTTTGGCGGCACAATAACACGTTGGTAAGCGGAGAAAAATAAGCGGCCTCGTGGTCTAGTGCTGAGGATACCAGCCCGACAAACGGGGGGCGTGTGGTTCTTCGCTCACCTTCATAAATATCAAGTAACTGATACAACTTTGTACAAAAACAAGAATATCTTCGCTGATATCATGACTTTGTTTTAGAAATGTTTTGCTCAGCGTCTTTGGGATAAGAATGATTTTCGTTGCAGAATTTAGTGCCTTCATGTTCTAAAAAAGGAGAGGCACTACAAAAACCGCGACTCCAGTTTTTTAGTTCGCTTGAGTTTTTTATCGCCAAGAATCATTCGTTATCGACTATCACACAACGGATGTGATAAGAGTTATTGCCGTTTTTGCGGTATATATATTGCACCTGATCGCCATAAGGGCACTACTTTCACCAACTATACAAGCTAGATAATTAAACCTCCAAGGGATAAGCGAAACCAAAAAACTAATATATAATTAACAACGATAAACGAGAAAAAATATATGAAAATACACAAAACAAAACAAAATTATAAACACTTATCGCCAGGTAATCCAGGAATCCATCCCAAAAACCACCTTAGAACACCAAGCAAACACAGAGCACTGAAAACGCGTGCTCTCCCACACACTCCCACCGAAAACCAATACATATACAAACAAGTTTTTTTCTAAACGTGTGCTACACAGTTTTTGGTCAGGAGCTACAAACATCTTCAAGAACACCACAAGGTTTCAACCTTTGACCACTTCTATTTTTGGATTTTATCGACGATGTGATTGATGACAACTTTTATGGTATCATTTTCTTTAATATGAAAAAAAAGTATGGTAAGGTATCTTCAAACAATAGATTTTATCGATGAATTATGACGATTCTAAAACAAGTGAATTATGTTAACATTTTAGGTATGGTATATTTTGCACTTGCGTTCATTTTTATATATCTTGTTAATGATATATAACGTGTTCTTTGTGATTTTTATCTATGTTAAACATAATGGCTGCAATAATTTAGTTTTGCGACCGCGGTTTATGCGAATACGCGTCAGACGCGATAATGTGGCAACGTGGTGCAGACTAGGGTTATTGTATATTGTATTACATTTACAAATAAAAAAATTGTAGGAATAGCGATTTTGTGAACACGTTTGTTATGGGCGATGTCAGCTGTGTTTGCTCCACAAGTACCGTTTAATACAATATGCAGGACTCTAGTTTGTTATCGCTCGCCACGCCTCTTATGTCTTCACTCGTAGTGTCACTTACTAATGCATTCATTGTACTTGTATAATAATGGATACAAGAATGTTCATTTTCTAATAGGTAACCTTTCCGGGGAGTTCAACCCGTAGGAAATCAAACATTATCAAACACTTCTCAGTAGTAGCTACTTAAAATCTTTATTTGCTTATCAATTATCTGTATTTATGGTTAATTTATCTGGTACGGATCGAATTCATCTATTGATAAAATCGGTGTTTGTTTATATTAATTCGGTCTAGATAATATCTGTTACCCGCAGATTCTGGATTGTAATAATAAAGTTCCGGGACGAAAACATGTGTTTATAACCTCTAGATTCAAAATGTGTCCTAATTTATTCGTCTTTTCTTGCAGCGATCTACAACGTAGCAAATTATCCTACGCCGGCTGCTAACAGAGGGCACTAACGTGCAGAAACTGACGTTCCATGCTTTAAACATTCACACAGTATGGGAGTGAGTCAGTCTGGTGGCAGTGGCTGGTGTTTGTTGCGTGTAGCGAAGACAGCTGATGGTTGTTGTATTATTAAAATTTAAATATAAAATTTCTTATAACTTAAACTTGATTAAAACGGTGTAATGTGCAGTAACTATGAGAAAAATGTATCATGGACGATATAAATCCAAAAAGGCCTCGATCACACGACTGTCATGTAATAAATAATCGAATAACCAACATAAAATTGTAAATAAATTAAATAATGACAACAAAATCGAAAACCGACAACAATAGAACAACAACTTAAGTAAGTATAAAAAACACATTTTTAGCGTATTGATTCTGATATATGGCTTAAAACACATTCTTCAAAATATTGACTATTTAATTATTTATGATCTCACTTTTTATTTTCACTTAAGTACCGGTTTTCCGTCACTTTCTTCACTCCAGTGACATAATTAAAAAAAAAACGACACCGCTTTCAAAAACTGATCACGCAACAAAAATTACCAAATTATATTTGAAGACATATGACCATCTTCCTGTTATTTTAATGTAGTGCAATTATTCGGCGACAGGATACCAACAGAATTTTTTTATTAGTTCAGAGCACCCAAACACAAATTTTCGAAAAATCTCGTTCAAATAAAATTCTTTTATTGAGGTTGCAACAATCAAGCAGTTGCTTGCAATTCATTATTTATGCTAAATCTGTCGTAAACAATGGCGTAAAATTAAATTACAAACAGGTTTTTATAATTTGTTTGGATAATTAGCTACATCAAATGATTTTATGAATAAAAATATCTCATTTCGAGTTTTATGGAAAACAATTAAAGTCTGTGGAGAGGGATATAGGATGATGTGCCCCGATTTCGCGAAAATATTAAATTGGGTTGAAAAAGACGTCTAGAAATTCGTGTTTAATTATTTAATTCAGTGGACTAAATGACAACTCGCTTACAAAAGACTGCGAATTCAAAAACGTAATTTGATGTAATACAATTACAATTGGTGTTATTCAGCGACGAAATACCCGGTGATGGTTGGATTGAAATCTCAATGTAATCAGTCATAGGAAAAGCCAGCTCGTGCTTAATTGACTCAAGTTCGAAAAAAAATTATTACACGAATAATAAAACTGCGGTAAATTTTCGACCCATTGTTACAAAATAGTAGAAATAACGACATATTACGAAATAATTGGGGAATACTTTTCATATGCGTGAGTGCCATTTACATGTCAGTTTAAGTCAAGGTTCGTATTGTCAGACGGATAATGGGTACATTGTAGAGAAAAAATTATCAGTAGTCACAGCAATAACCACTTGGCACAACACACACAAAAGCCGGTAATTAGAATAAAGTGATAAAATGTGTAGTAAAAGCGGAACCTGTTTAGTGTTATGTTGCTTGATTAGCTGTCATATTATTATTATTATTGTCATTTTTCGCGCTACAAATTGGCGCTAATTTAATTTTTTTTAAATAACTCAAGTTAACATAACTAATTGAATACTTGTTTTATTTTTATTTAATTTTTTTTAAATAACTCAAGTTAACATAACTAATTGAATACTTGTTTTATTTTATTGGTCATTAATTGCGTATTGTATTCAATTTGATAGGTTATTGTTTCTAACGCCACGAATGGTAAACGTATTTTTGTTTTTCAAATTTACCATTGTTAATACATTTTCTATCTCTCTCTAACATGTTTTTTGTCTTTGGGTAGTTCCATTCTTCCGTCACTTTTTTTAAATACTGTATTACGTTGTGTTTCCCCGAATTTTGGCAAATTAAGTGATAATGTCAGACAATAGCGCGTTAATCTTTATTATGTTAATATGTTATCACATTGCTTATTTATTTAAACACTGCTATGCAAATTTACATTTCAAATTGCCTTTTAAGGAAAACTTGAATTAACACACAATGTTGAAGCCTGATACACAGCCCATTTTAATTATGATTATATCTATCTTTCCTAAAATTTCACTCCTGCGGTTGCGGAATAATTTGATGGATGGGTATGGAATTACAAAGACATTTCATACTGTTATTAAGCGGAGGGCTTAGTCGTATTTAATTAATTAATTAATTTTGTTCAGTTATTTAACCTAAGGAATAGTTCTACATACCGTCGACAATGATTAAATTATTACTCTCTGTCAATTTCGGGGGAGTTATTTGGTCGCATTCTCCCCGTATAGATTTTTTAAAGATTTGAATCCGATTTTAAGATGGCTTTTAGATTGCAGGCTATTTTGAGCTTATTATTAGGACCTTAATTCGTTTTAAATGGTTGATTCGTGCTGTACTGAAAGATTAGGGAAACGCTAAAATTACGTTTAATGTTTTAATATCTAAGACGTTTTATTACATAGTATGCTGTTGAAATGACTTCGTAAGGATTCTCCGTTTTGTTTTACAATAAGATCCTTCTATCAGCTTAATTAAAGCTTTCCATGCCGATATTGATTTTATTTCGATTTCTGAGCCCAACGTTATTATTAAAATAAGTTTCTTGTTGATAGGTTCGTGATTATAAGGTTTTCCGATGGCTTCATTACAATAATGAAAAATGTATTTCAGAAGACAGGAACGAACTTTCCGCATAAATGAAAATATACGAAAGTATATGTGTTCAACGTCGACACCATTTCCTTTTTGAACATTGTTTGAATGGTGTCGTGTGGCAGAATCTTCAAAGAAATGTCAGTTAAGTTAACACCCAGCAGTGCTTATTATTACACACTCCTTGAATTTATTTCTAGTGCATTCATATTTATACAGGGTGACTAATCCTAAAAGTGGACTACTTAAAATTGGATTTTCCTATGATGATTAGAATTTTCTTGTAATATTATTATAATTTGAATTTCAAATTAAGCCCGATTGGTATATAGATGTCGTCGTTCGACATATATTCTTCTAAAACAGGTTTTTCTTGTTTTGCAACTTCTGCACACTCGCTTTGTTCTTATCGCAGGAAACTTACTTTCAAGGTCAAACGTTCGTATTGAAGGTTTGGAACATAATCGTGCAACAAATGAATATTTTGCTCTCCACAACAACCACGAGTTCAAGTAATTGGTTATTTCCGTGAGATATGCTATAGACTACATCAAATAAAGTGATTGAAGTAACTGGTAGTTTCCTTCAGTTCGTTAGTAATAATTTGTTTCTGTCGTGTGGAAATCTTACGGTATTAATCCGTCGAGTGCACACGCCCAGCCAGCAATTTAGTATGCAAGCATAGCATTACTTTTTGCACCTAATTCCTAAATGTGCATTTGCATTTTTACACCGGTTCTGAATCTATTTACAGTTCCGTCAAGAACGGTCGTTGCTCCAGAACGAATTGTTGCATATTTAACGATACGCCACTGGAACGTGTACGCAGTGTTTATAACTTGTTTATCAATAACTGTTTGCCCGTATCAGAGATACATCGCTCAATTAATACTCCATGATGTTTGAACAACCCCCGGCCAGTTTTCGCATTTTTACACACCCCGGTATAAATTTTTACTTAGAATTCTATCGAACGCGGCTTCTCGTAAATTTCACTTTAAAAAACTTGGTATCAACTTCCAAACTTAAAACTTCTCCCACTTCTTACTTTCCAAGATTAAATTTATTTCCGATGTTGTTGCCCATGCTTGTTTTCTTTAGACGCATTACTTTTATTTTTCTAGCATGTTTTCCCTTTTGATCACTTCGTTGTGGGTTCTTCCCTACCAAAACGACAAACAACAAAATTGTTCGCTCAGACTTCGTTCGGATTGACAGGGGATCGATGCACGGGACCGCACTGGAAAAGGTGTCATAAAACTCTCAAATTACATTATTTTATAATACCGTAACCGTACAAACAGGATGCACTTGGGGTATAAGAATACCTCTACCCACCCACCCACCCCCTCTCTAATCAGTTAACCCATCGGCTAGCCTCACCTTCAGTATTAAAAAAATCGAAGAACACAAACTAGAGGGACGGCTCGAAGGGCTTCCACCGTCAAAAACTTTACATTGAGGTCCGAGAATCCTACATGTAGGTACCCGAATACCGTTCCACTACCTCGTCGGATCCCCGGAAGTTGAAAGTAAGTGATAATCTTGGAGTGCCCGTGAGACTCCGAGAACCGTTTCCTTCTCAAGTGTCTAGTGTCGAGTTAGATCTTTTTACCCTCTTGGGGACCCCAGTTGTACAACTGGGAACGGTTGGGACGCAACCACGGAGAATGATCCTCTTACCAATGTTTGAGTGACTCGGTACTTGGTCATCTTTCGTGGGAATGCTAAGTTTGCTCCACCTTGTTGGTTTGAGAGTCTTAGTCAAAGCGTGGGTTCAATGACAAACCTGGATACAATGTGCGGGGGTCTCGGGTCTCTCCGGGTTCAATGTCCTATACGGGTAAATCCAGCTCGGGATTTCCCAAGTACAGTTCTAGAGGTTGGACCTCTGGGGTTCCTTGCGGGTTTTCTCGATCAAGGGTCAGAAGTTTGGGAACCACCCGTTTTGGTCAAAGTTCCACAGTTAGGTCAGGTCAGGTACCCCTCCCAAGGGAGGAAAAAGTAATTAATATTGTGAATCAGCTGCATTATCTTATTCTTCACGTCAAAAAAAACCGCAACGATCAGTTATGGCGAAAAAAGTAGATATTATTATTATTATTATTACCAGAGTAATGTGATCAAACTGATAAATTATGATACATTTTAAAGCTTAAATTGGTTTAGACAATCAAAATACGATGGACGGTCTTGTCTATAAGGCAGAGGTGTGGCTACCGCGTACTCAAGATCACGTTCCTAATCTACATTCCATACAGGACTCGCATCTTAATGACTAGATCGTCAATAAGTTAAAAACAGTTTTAAAAGGGAGACAATTTTCCACTGTTTGATATATCACAAGTTTGTCTCCACTCAAAAATTGGAACAATTTTAAAAAGTAATTATTGTTTGATCCATTGATTAGAAAATAGTTGTTTTACATGAGATTCCTAATATGCAGACAAAATTTGACAGCCATCGGTCTAGTAGTTCGGGGATTATCTGTCTAATAAAATTCAGGACAGACGGCAGACAGACAGACAGACCGACAGGAACGTAAGATCTAATTGTATCCTTTTTTACTCCCTGAGCGTAATCGGGTTCGTCGGGCGACTCTACATTTATGTTTTCTCGACCTTTCATGACCCCTAGAGTACGAAGAAATAGGTCCCCCGTTTGTCTGTCTGTCCGTTTGTCCGGATTTTTATTAAACCAATAATCTTCGAAAGTACTGGACCGATT